TACTCCAAAATCCTCGAAAATACAATCATATTGCATATTTTTAAAGCTTTCAAGCACCTTTTTCATGTTCATAATCTAGGTCCCACCCCGGGTGTGGCCGACCCCCAAAAAGTTCGGTCTCCCCCAAACTGCGACCTACCTCCAAAAAGTTTTCAGTCTACACCGAGAACTGTCAATTTTCAAACACTAGGAAAGTTGAGACTTTCAGAATATTCACCTATTTGATCAAGGAGTATTCTGACCAATTTTCAGGCTTTTTTCAGTAAAATGACCATACTTGGGAGTTCCTAAATTCTAAAATGGGCTTTCCAAAACTTTGCCTCCTTTTACCATGTTTGGGCTTTATCAGGGAGTTTCTATCTAGGAAAATAGCTTCCCTAGTTTTTTTCAAAGGTTATCAAGTTCTCAAAAAACCTTTTTTCACAACCTCAGTTCTTTTTTCACCATATTTGGGCCTATCAGACCGTTTCTAACTTCAAAAACTGGAAAAAAGCCTTCCTAAATTTTCAAAAACCTTTTCGAAACTTCAGTTCCTTTTTTTTTGCCAAATTTGGACCTTTGGGCTTCACTCAGACCGTCTCTAACTTCAAAAACTTCAAGAAATCCTACCCAAATTTTCAAAAAGCCTTTTTCGAAATGTTGGCTTTATTTTTCCCGAAATGTGAGCCTCACTCAGACCGTCCCTAACCTTAAAAACTGCAAGAAAACCTTCCCAAATTCTCAAAGTCTTCCAAAACTTCGCCTCACCGTTTTGCCACATTGCCGCACATACACACAATCACACACGCACCCACGAAAAACTACCGGACTTTTGCCTTTCGCCTTCTTTTTCTTCGTTTTCGGTCGTTATCAGGGCCCCCGTTGGTATGGCGCCTGCGCCACTTGCGGACGGAGGCTGTCATTATGGTTTTCGGCGAAGCGAACGCACTGCCGGGCCGTTTTTTTTTTTTCGCTGTTTCGGTCACCCATTCGTTCTCTTTCCTCTCCCACTTTTGGCAGCAGTTGTTTGCGACTTTCTTGGAATGTTCGCCAGATCGTTTTCGCCTTCTTTTGAGGGTCTGATTTGATAGGAAAGGTGGAGGTTTCAGAGGGGTTTTGAGCCTTGGAAGGGGAGGAAAGTTAGATCTTCTTACATGAAGCTTGGATGAATTTAAAGATTATGAAATTTAGAGCTTTGGAAGGTGAGGAAAGGGGAAAGGGAGGATAGTTGGATTTTAGTCCTTGGAGCTTGAAGGAATTGGAAAATTAAGGAGTTCAGAACTTTGAAAGCAGTTTTTCACGACTTCTTTGGAATCGTCGAAAGATCGTTTTCGCCTTCGCTTGAGGGTCTGATTTGATAGGAAAGGTGGAGGTTTCTTAGGGTTTTAGACCTTGGAAGGGGTGGAAAGTTGGATTTTCTTACTAGAAGCTCGGCTGAATTTGAAAATTAAGGAGCTCAGAACTTTGGAAGCAGTTTTTCACGACTTTCTTAGTCTCATTTTGGGGAGATTGGACAGAAAAATAAGATAATTCTTGGGGTTTTTAGAAAGTTTTTTATGATTTGGAAGGAGAAGGAAGTTGAATTTTGGTCCTTGGAGCTTGAAAGACAAGTTTTGGCAGCAAGGTTTGAGGATTTTGGTCCTAGAAAGGGAAAATCAAAAGGCTTTCATCAAAGTAAAGAGGGATTTATGTTCTTGAAGCTTGAAGGAATTCGAAAAAATGCGATTTTGAAGGTTTTTTTTCTCGAAAAAAGATGATTTTTGGAGCTTTTAAAGGATTTTTCCATCTTGAACAGAGAAAAAAGTGACATTTTTTGTCCTTGGATTGGAACAAATCAAAAAAGTAGATTTTGAAAGGGGCCAAGCTTAGAAAGGGAAAGACTTTTTGCGATTTTAGAGAGGATTTTGATCTTAGATAGTAAAGGAAAAATATGTGATCTTGTCTTGAAAGCTTGAAAAGTTTGAGAACGTGAACATTTTTTTAGAGGCGTTTTAGGGAGAATTTTGGTCAGTTAAGAAAAAAAAGAGTCATTTTCGTAAGGACCATGACAAGTTTGACAAAAACTGGAAACTTGAGTTTTGGTTACTTTTTGGCTTTTTTTTTTCGATCACTTTTCAAAATTATTGTCCTTTTGAAAGTGAAATTATCATTATCAAAAGCTTGAAAAGTACTGCACGGCTCTGAGTTGATTAAAAAAATAAAAAAATAAAGTTTGAAACAAAAAGATAATGAAAATCTCCATTATAATGACGCTTCAAGAAGGAGTCTTTTTTCTCCCGGAATTTTCCCTTTCTATAATTTCTTATCAGGAAAAATGGTTTGTTTGGCCTCCGAGGTACTCGTTCGAACTAAGAAGAGTCCAACTGATAGTTGAATTTCCGGCCATTGGAATTTTTCTCAGTTCAAAAATTTATGCTTGAAAAAATGAGCTTATCAGTGATGTGAGGGTGTTGAAATTTTGACTGGGAACGCTCAGATTTTTGTCAGAGATCTTTTGGTTTGATTTATTGGTGTTGTAGTACCATTTCTTCACTAACAAGGAGCATAACTCCTCTCATGGCATCCAGAATAATCTTCCTGATCTTCGAAAAAACTTCCTGGAAGAACAAGTTCTATCAACGTCTCCAACATAACGTATACTTGACCTCAAGAATGATCAGATGAGCCACGTTCTTCTCTGTCCTGATATTGAAAAGAAGCTCCTTTCGGGTCAAAACTTTCTGGAAGGATTACTCTCTCAGCACCTCTAGAATCAGCACCTTTTGACGGACACCTTTTGAAGCTTCCTGGAAGAACAACTCCTATCAACACCTTCAAAATAACCTCTACTTGACCTCAAGAATGATCAGAAGAGCCCTGTTATTCTGTTCTTTTCTGTCCGGATTCTGAACAGGAGCTCCTTTTGAGTTGAAGCTTCCTGGAAGAACAACTCCTATCAACACCTTCAAATTAACCTCTACTTGACCTCAAGAATGATCAGAAGAGCCCTGTTATTCTGTTCTTTTCTGTCCGGATTCTGAACAGGAGCTCCTTTTGAGTTGAAGCTTCCTGGAAGAACAACTCCTATCAACACCTTCAAATTAACCTCTACTTGACCTCAAGAATGATCAGAAGAGCCCTGTTATTCTTTTCTTTTCCCCGTCTTGGCCTACGTGCGCCTCCGTCTGTGCCCGTGTGTGTGTGTGTTTGGTTGTGTGTTTGTATTGCTTCAACTATCACACGCATCGATTTGCTCGAATCGCGTTCGTTTGGCGCGTTTTGAGGCTCGCCTTTTCTCGCGCCCGGAAACATATGACTCCCCTTTGCACCTTCTTTTTTTTGGCTTAGAAGTGGCTTTTTGCAAGATCAGAGGGGCTCTTGATCTTCTGAGAGAATGGACTTTTGGATTGCTTTGGTTTTGGAGAAGCTGTAGTTGATCAGAGGTTTTCTTTCAGAAAGACTTTCCGGATTTGCTGATTGACTTCTTGAAAGGGCTTTCTGTGGTTTGAGCTTTTTGACAAGCTTCTTTGATAATTTTTCAAGCTCTGTAGATGATCAGATGCGTTTGCTTCAGAAAAACCTAGAAAAGTTGTTGTTGATCAGATGGTTCTCATTTCAGAAAGACTTCTAGAATCTTTGGAATAACTTCTTGAAGGGTTGTCCTGTGGTTTGAGCTGTTTAAAAATCTTTTTTGATAGTTTTTCGAGTTCTGTAGATGATCAGAAGCTTATCCTTCAGAAAAATCTGGAAAAGTTGTAGTTGATCAGAAGATTTTGTTTCAGAGATGCTTTGAGGACTTTTCAAATGGTTTTCCTCTGGTTTGAGCTTTTTTTAAAACGCTTTTTCGAGTCTGGTAGATGCTCAGATGCTTTTGCTATAGAAAAACCTGGAAAAGTTGTAGATGATAAAGTTTTTATCCTTCTAGCCGGACTTAGAAAACTCTTCGAATGGTTTTACTGTGTTTTGAGCTTTTAAATCGTCACTTTTTCGAGTTCTGTGATCAGAAGCCCTTACACAAGGAAAACCGCGAAAAGTTGTAGTTGATCAGAAGATTTTGTTTCAGAAAGGCTTTGAGAACTCCTCGAAGAATTTTTCTGTGGTTTGAGCTTTTTCAAACAATTTTTCTTCAGATCAACTTCTGCAAGGAGTTTTTGTAATTCGAGCTTTTTTTCAAACCGTTTTCGAGTCTGGTAGATGATCAGAAGCTTATCTTTCAAGAAGAACTTGAAAATATCATTTTTTGAACGACTCCTTTGAAAAAAGCAGTAGTTGTAGCGATTTTCTGTTTTAGAAAACCTTTCAAACCTATTTTTGAGGTGTTTCTTCGCGATTCTAACATTTTGAAGATCGTAGCTTCGATATTGGAGAAGTTGTAGTTGATCAGAAGCTTCAGTTTCAGAAAGGCTTTGATCTTTTCCTGATCTGTTTTTGAAGTGGTTTTTCAGTGGTTTGGGGTTTTAAGGAGGTTTTTTTCAGGTTTTCATGTTAGTAGATGATCAAATTTTTGTTCTCGGAAGTTCTTGCTGATCTTATTTTGTTGATGAAGATTCAGAAAAAGAAGTATTTTCAGATTTTCGTGTGTAGTTGATCAAAGGTTTTGATTCCGGAAGTTCTTATTTTTCTATTTTTTATGAAAAAATCTGAGATTCTTTCACCTTCTGATTCATTTTTTTCAACTCCAAATGGTCATTTATTTATTTTTTTAAAATATTTAGTAGTTGACCAGAAGTTTCAGGAAGACTTGACTCAAAAATTGAGCTTCAAGAATTTTTTTTCTGAAGTGAAAAATGTGAGATCATAGGACAGTTAACTCGAAACTTTCAATGAAATCGGATAAATCAATCTTTTCCTTCACAAATTTCAAGTTGGGAACCGTTTCCTATGCAATATCAGTCGCCAGGATCGATGCCATTTTTTTTTCCGTTCCTCCCCATTTTCTCCGTACAAGTGTACTCGAAACCTTTCTCTCTTCCATGATTTTTCGGCTATTTTTACCTCGTTTCTCTCTCTCAATTTCTCTCATTAGTTTGTCTTCTTTCAGTATGGACATGGCGATGGCGGCGTCGACGTCAAACGTCGGCCCCTTCGGAGGTTCCATCCTGGACGACCTTCCCAATCCAGATGATGTGCCGTGAGTTTTTTTGCGCTTTTTTAAGGGAAAATAAGTGATTTTTGAAGCCTCCAGTTACTGTATTAACGTGTGTTTTTAAGTTTTTTCGAGAAAATTTGAAGAAAGTTGGTTCAAAACGAGAAAAATTAGGCCTGTAAATGGTTTTTTAAAGTCTCTAGTTACTGTATTAACGTGTGTTTTTCGGAAATTTTGAAGAAAAAAAGGGCAAAAAAGGCTTTGAAAAGCTCCAGTTACGTGTTTAACGTCATTTTTTTAAAGTTTTTTCGAGGAAAATTTGAAGAAAATTGATTCAAAACGAGAAAAATTGGATCAAAAAAAGTTTTTTAAGAAATTAGACCTTAGTTTTCCAAAATTTTAATGAGAAAATTGAAGAAAAAAGGTTCCAGAGCGTTTGAAAAAGCTCTAGTTACAATTATAACCTCATTTTCGAAAGATTTTTTTGAAGAAAAAAATGGTTCGAAAAAGTGAAAAATTACGCCTATAAATGGTTTTTTTAATTGAAAGCGCTATTAACGCAAGTAGACCCCTTAAGTGGCCACTAATTTTTGGCCCCTAAATGGCCACTATTTTGACCACTATAGTGGCCACTAAAAAAATTTTTCCCAGTTTTTTTCAATTGGCTTAGTAATAGATTGATTTTGTAGAAATTATTATTAAAAAAATTTTTTTGAATCATTGTAAAATCATATTTTTTTGTTCTTTTGGTTATTTTACATACACTTTTTTGTGATATTTTTTGTTGAAAATTCTATTTTCCTTTGAAAAAGATCGTTCCAAAGCCTTTTGGTGGAGACATTATTTGCTTATGTTAATTATTTTCTCGTTCGCACGCTTTTTAGTACAGACGGGGAGCTATCTGATAAATTATTTGTAGAAAAAGCTATATTTTTGGAAAAAGATATAGATTCTGGAACGTATTGAAAGTGAAAAAGGTGAAAAATTGGGAAATTTGGAAAGTTATGAAGCTTTTGGGGATTAGCAGGAAATATTATAGATTTTTTAGAGCTTTTTGAAAAAATTTAATGCTCTTCTCAAAAATTATGAATGAAGTGGATACTGTAAACTTAAGGAAAAAAATTCGGTTATTGTAGATTTTACAATGTTAGATCACTTTCCTGTTACTTCTCTTTGTTTTATCTCGAGATATAGTCCGTTTTGCGCGACTTCTCTGCGCCCTCCTTATCTCTCGACATCTCTCTCATGTTTACGTGCTATTTCCATGTTTCTCTGACCTCGCCGATGAGGGACAGAGAGACGCAGACATGCGAAAACTGTCAAGTCGCGTCAGACGGACTATATTCGTGTTTTTGGAATCAATATTTGCCACGATATTCCAGATTACGGGCCTCACCGTCGCGCGCGATGAAAAGCATCGAGGTGATGAAACAGAACCACGAGATCGCCGTCGAGAAGTTCAAAGAACGAAAGCCGAAACTGATCGCCGATCAGAAGGCCGTCACCAGTCAGCTTCACAAAAGGTACAAAGAAATCTCAACTTTCCACCTCTTCTTATGATTTTTTTTCTTCCATTGACCTTGAAATAGAAAAGACGTAAAAAATCGAGAATTTTCCACAAAACGAAATAAAATAGTGGATTTCAACACCTTGAGCTGTTTTTTTTCATTCAATCCTCATTTTTTCAAAGGAAAAAAATTGGCAAAAACAATTTGCACCGAAAGGATCCGAACCAGCGTCAGTGATTCTAAAGCGCTAGACCCTTAGCCACTACACCACGCCGCCAGCTGGAAGCTCAAGTGTACCGCGGCAACACATTCCCTCCTCCCATCCAATGCATTTTTGCGTGAAAACTTTGAGCCGCCATAACTCGACTAGAACCGAAAATACGCACTTTTTTTCGATTTATTTGGGTTCAGGATGTCCGAAAGAATCTATATACCAAGTAACATTGTATTTCAATACCTTGACTTTCCCGTGTGAAGCCTAGTCCTTTTTCCAAGGCTTACGAGGGATTTCTCTGCCCCCTCCTATTCTCTCGGAGACCGTCTCATTTCGACGTGCTATTTTCATGTTTCGGTGAGGGAACAGAGAGACGCAGACACTAGGAAACAGTTTAGTTTTAGGGAACGGACTATACTGAATGAAATTGAAAAAAAAACATTTTTAGAGGTTTTTCGTTGAAAATTCAACTTTGGACCCCTAGCACTATAGACGAGCTCACGACCGTCCTCTAGATTCTCCAGAAAATAAGATAAGTTTTGAAGGTACCTCGAAGAGGAAGAGCGGAAGCGGCAGGAGGCGTCCAAGGGCAAGAACGAGCAGGCCAACGGGATCGCCTTCCAACAGACCCCCTTGTCCCGAGCCGACCGGAAAAGACGACCCGATCCGACGGCCGAGTACTCGGAAGACTGGGCCAAGAGACCTACCCCAATGAGTAAGGATTCCTTGTCGAAACATGGAAAATCTTATAGGAATTTTCGCGAGCTTTTCCTGAAAACCAACCTCAATTTTGAGTATTTTGAGAAGGATCTTGTCAAAAAATACCCATTTCTCTACGTAGACATATTTTTAAGCGGAAATATAGCGATGTTTCTGAAACTTTCTAGTAGTCCCTTCAGCGTCAGAACTCTTAAGTGATTACTAGGAACTCAGAAGTGTTCGGAGCGCGCCCAGCTTGCATTACTGAAATCTAACGGGATCATTTAGCTACTAGGACCTCGATAAGACAAACCGGAGGCTTCTGAGAGCTCCTAGGGATCACTTTAGTGGCGTTAGCACTTTTAAGTGATTACTAGAAGTGCTTAGAATCGTCCGGAGAGCATCCAGCTTGCATTACTGGAACCTGACAGGATCTTCTAGCTCTTAAGTGATCACTAGAAATTCTCAAAACCGTCCGGAGAGCGTCCAGCTTGCATTACCGATGTCTGACAGGGTCATTTAGTTACTACGACCTCGATAAGACAAACCGGACGCTTCTGAGGGTTCCTAGGGATCATTTTAGTGACGTCAGCACTATTAAGAGATTACTTGAATTTCTCAGAATCGTCCGGAGCGCGTCTGGCTTGCATTACTGGAACCTGACAGGGTCCTTTAGCCCTTAAGTGATTACTAGAAATTCTCATAATCGTCCGGAGAGCGTCCGGCTTGCATTACGGAAATCTGACGGGATAATTTAGCCACTAGGACCTCGTTAAGGCAAACGAGACGCATATGAGGGTTCCTAGGGATCACTTTAGGGGCGTTTGCACCCTTAAGTGATTACTACAAGCCAAGATACTTTCGTAGTGCGTTTGGTTTGCTTTACCGAAGTTTGAGAGGAACATTTAGCTTCTCGTACACCCGGTAACGAGTTTCCTAGTGATCACTCTAGTGACCTGAGCCCCCTTAAGTGATTACTAGAAATTCTCAGATGCGGGTTTGCACTACCAAGGATCTTTTAGCTACTTGAACCTCGGTAAGACAAACCGGACGCTTCTGAGCATTTCTAGTGATCACTATAGGGCTGTAAGAACTCTTGAGTGATTTTCACGTTAACTTAAATTAGAAGAGCGAGTGCGATAGAGCGCACATCGATAAGCAAAAGTTGAATTCTCATTTTTCAGACATGCCGATGGGAGGACCAAAAATGGACCCGTGGATGATGCACCATCATTCCCAGATGCAGCAACATCACATGCCCTACCCGCCTCACATGGCACATCATCCGATGGCCCAGTACCCACCCCATGTTCAGCAGCAGATCATGATGCAGCAGCAGGTAGGACCTCCTTCTGGTACATCAAGGAGTATTCATTTTTCAGATGCAACAACAGCAGTACCAACACCACCAAATGCAACTGCAGCATCAGCAGAAGATGGCCCAAGCGCAGGCTCAAGCTCAAGCTCAGGCTCAAGCCCAGGCGGTCCAAGCGCAGCAGCATCCCTACCAGGCGTCTCCGTTGACGACGCCGACCTGCGTCTCCGCGCCGTCGACCTCCACGGCGACGTCTTCCTGCACGACTTCTGCCGCGATGACCAACGTCGTCCAGACGAGTCCGACGTCGACGGCTTCCGCGCCGCAGCAAGCCTCCACCAGCTCCATGCAATTTGGAGCCGTCCCCACGCCGCCCACCCAGCTCCCGAAGGTCAACGACGATCTGAGCGACCTGCCGACTCCTGGGAATGTCGACTTCCTTGCGACGTCGGAGGTGAGCTGAAGGGGCTCTGGAATTGCCGAACTTTACAGATTTTGTTATAGAAAAATAAAAATCCTTTCTCTGAACTGTCCTCGTTTACATGCTATTCTCATGTTTTTTGCCTTCGCGAGAGAGAAGAGAGCGTAGACAGGTCGTACTTTTGAATCTTCTAGGGAAAGGAGTATAGAAAGCCTTGCAATTTTTAAATTGTCCGTAGAGCGCAAATGATTACATTAATACGGCTTTTTTTTCCTTCAGAGTTGAACTGATAGATCCAAAGTTCGGAATTTTGTAAAAATTGCCTAAAATCTTTCATATAGCGCAGTAATTTAGACTTGAGAAAACAGGCGAAAAAGTACTAGAGTGAAATTTCGATTATCCGTAGAGCGCGCATGGTCGCATTTATTCAGAACTATTCTGAGAGATCTAAAGTTCAGATTTTTGTAAAAAAAAAAAACAGTTTCCGTTTGTCCATGTAGCGCAAATATTCAATGTTTTTATCTCTCAGGCATTTGGATTATCCATGGAGCGAATAAGACAGGACTTTTTGAGCCAATAAGAAAAAATTTAGTGTTTGCAAAGAATAGTTTGTTCGGAATATTATTAGAACTGCTTGGGATTTTTCATTTAGCGCAAATGTTGAGATTTTGTTCTCTTAGGCATTTTGATTATCCGTAGAGCGCATAAGATAGGACTTTTTGAGCCGCGACGAAAATTTTGTATTTTTAGGGAATAGTTCGACCGTTCCCCAAGGATAGGTGATTTATGTTAGTTATTATAAATTTACTCATTATATCTGATGATTTCTAGCCATGAAATCGAATAACCTGCATTTTTCTTGTACGGACGGTCCATTGAAATTTTCAAAAAAAAAGTCGGTTAACTTTGAAATTTTGCAGTTTCGGTACAACCGCGACGACATCGCCGAACTCGGCCCGGATTGTCTGGACGGCGAGGAGAACTTCGACCTGACGACACCCTCCACCTCGTCGCACTGCTTGCAATCGCCGCTCAACGCCAGCTTCCCCACGCCTGGAACCGTCAACAACACGTTGAATGGCCACTGTGGACCCCTCAGTGCTCATTCCATGCACTCGGTTCGTTTGTTTCTGAGGCCAAAAAGCTCTAAAAAGGCTCAAACCCAGATATAAGCTTCTTAGATGATTTGAGCTTAGAAGTCAAGCTCCGAAACATGTGAAGCTTAAAAATTAGCTTCAAAGATGATTGAAGATCAATGTTCAGCTTCAAAAAAGTTTCAAGCTCAAAAGTCAGCCTACGAAAGAGGTGAAGCTCAGAAAATAGCTTCGGAAAAGTTTCAAGCTCAAAATCAAGCTCCCAAGTGGGAGAAGCTCAAAAATTAGTTCGAATAATAGCTGTATTCAGCTTAAAAAAGGGGTTCATGCTCAAAAGTCAACCTCCGGTGTGGGAGAAGCTCGAAAATTCGCTTGAATAAAGACGGAAGCTCAATCTTCATTTTTAAAAAGGGTCCAAGCTCAAAAGTCGGCCTCCAAAAGATGTGAAGCTCAAAAATTAGCTTCAAAAAATGATTGAAGCTCAGTTTTCAGCTTCAAGAAAGGGTTTAGGCTCAAAATTAGGCCTTTGATGAAAGAGAAGCTCAAAGAATAGCTTCGAAAATGTCTGAAGCTCCAATATGAGCTTTTAGGACAGTTCATGCTCCAAAGTCAGCATCTGATGTAGGTGAAGCTCAGAAATTAGCTTGAATGGAAGCCGGAGCTAAATTTTCAGCTTCAAAAAAGGTTTAGGCTCAAAATTCAGTCTCCGATACGTGTGAAGCTCAGAAAATAGCATCAAAAATGGTTCGAGCTCAAAATTCAACCACCGATGTTGGTGAAGGTCAAAAATAGCTACTGATAATGCTCAGAAACCTCAGTTAAGGCTGATTTTTGGAACTCTTATTTGTTTCGAGGTTGATTTTTGAAGTCAAGGTTTTCTCGGAGCTGTTTTTGGAGCTCATGCTTCTTTCGAATGTCATTTTTTCTGAGCAGTGGCTGTTACAGTTGAAATACGAGCTCTTTAGAGTTTTTGGGACTTGTTTTAGATTTGATCTCTAACAGGAGGTGATTATGTGAGCTTGAGCTTCATTTGGAGCGTTCTAAACTTTTTAGAGACATTATTTTAATTCCAATTTTTGCGCTTTGAAAAATAGTTACCTTTCCAGGCGCCTCACAGTAACGGAAACTGCAATCCGCCGATGACGCCGACGACTTCCGGCCTGGAATTGACGGCGGCTGGCCCGGGCAGCGTCGGGTGCGCTCCGACGACGGCCGCCACGATTTCTGCGCCGATCGGACCGCCCATGTATTCCAGTACTCCCCTTCAAGCGCCCGCTCAGCCGACTCAACAGCCCGGACCTCAGGCGGCGGCAGCTGCAGCTGCTGCAGCGCAAGCCCAAGCTCAGGCCCAAGCTCAAGCCCAAGCTCAAGCTCAAGCTCAAGCTCAAGCTCAACAGCAACAAATGATGATGATGAATGGGAATGGCCAAGCTTATCATCAAGCCGGGTAATTCAATGAATCCTTGAGCTTTTGAATAAATGAATATTTTTCTAGGTTTCCTGGATATCCTGGCGCCGAGATGGGCATGCCAAACGGGATGATGCAGCAGCAGCATGCGGTGAGCTTTTCTGAAAAAAGTTCACTTGAAAATTGAAAACGACTGAATTTGAAAAAATTAACTGAAAAGTAAATTCCAGTTTCAGCCATTTTATTTGCATTTTTCCCACGGTAACTACGAGGTTCGGTACGCGGGAACCACCTTTTATTAGAAAAAAAAGATCGATTTTCCCCCTTTTTCGAGATTCTGAAGAGCTTCAGAGTGGTCCCTAGAGGGGTGTTCTGAAAGACAATTGAAGGGTTCACTTTAGCTATCCCTATAGGGGGCATTAAAGCTTGCAAAATTCGGTATTTGGAGGTTTTATCTAGTGGCCACTCTAGGGGACCGTGCTTGGGGTCGCTTCAGGTGTTTTTAAGAATTTTTTTTATCTCTAAAATCAATACAGAAATCTAACAGACCCTAAAAAGGACCACTCCAGCTCTAGGGGCTGATGGGTGAGGCCCTAAAGCCCTATAGGGACCACCTAGAACTCCAGAGGGGTCCCTATAAGGGAAACTGTCTAGAAATCACTTTAACAACCCCTAACGCATGAAAAAGTGGTCCAAAAAGGGGTTCCAGTTAGGGGCCCTTATAGAGACATGCTAGTGAATAAAGAAACTGAATAAGCGATTTTTAATAAAACCTTAAAGACCCCTCTAGGGACCACTTAAGCCACAGGGGCCAGACCCTGGAGCCCTATAGGGATCACTTTGATTTTACCCCTGTAGGGATCACTCTAAAGTTCCTAAGTGATTAATGTGCTCAAAAATTCAGTTTTTGTATTTGTTTCAGCTTTCGAACAATGAAAAATCAAGAAAACCAGTTGCAAAGTTTTTTTTATATCAGTTAGTTTCAAAAGAAAAAAAAATCGATGAAATCACTTATTGATTATTTTTTTTTGCAGAGCATGATGATGATGTCCCCCCAACAGCAGCAAATGATGATGCAGGAGCGGGAAATGTTCATGAAGCAGCAGCAGCAGCGGTCGATGATGTACAACGGCTACGCCCAGCAGAACGGAGCGACGCCCGCCGGAGTCCCGCCCCAGTACCTTCAGCAGATGCGGATGCAGCAGCAGCAGCAGCAGCAGCAGCAGCAACAGCAGCAGCACGCAGCGAGGTTCGGTTCTGGAAAAAAAAATAAAAAGTGATGGAAAGGTTGAGGTTTTTACCTGAGATTTACCTGAGATTTACGTGGATTACTCGGATTTTTACCTGAATGTTGGGATTTGACCTGACTTTTTACCTGACTTTCACCTGGATTTTTAACTGACGTTCAATTTGAATTTTCTGCTGGATTTTTACCTGGGATCTCACCTGAATTTTAGAACTTTACCTGACTTTTTACCCGAGTTATCACCTGGATTTTTATTTGGATTTTTACCTGAGATTTCGCCTGAATTTTAGGGACTTCGTACCTAGATTCTGCCTGAACTCTTACCTGGATTTTTAAAGTAGATGTAACCTGAATTCTACCTGAATTTTTAATTGAATTTTACCTGAGACTTTACGTGAGATTCGCCTTAATTTTACCTGGGTTTCGAGGAGATTCCACTTCGGATTTTTCCTGGTTTTTTACCTGAGATTTTGAATTAGTTTTTTTCACACGGCTCTAGCTGAATTTTTTTTACATTGGTTTCACCCGAAGTTCATGGGAAATTAATCTAAATATTACCTGAATTATTACCTGATTTTAACTGGATTTTTACCTGGTTTTACCTGGCTTCTTAGCTGATTTTTTACATGGCTTTTTACATGAGTTTAACAAGAGATTTACCTCAATTTCACCTGGATTTTAATGAGATTTTACCTGGATTTTCACCTGGGCTTTACCTGGCTTATTAGCTGAATTTTTCATAGGTCTCTAACTGTATTTAACGAGAGGTTCACCCAAATTTTACCTGGATTTTGATGAGATCTTACTTGAGTTTTTCACCTGAATTTTACAATTTTAACCGATGATTCTAGCTGAATTTTGACATGGATTTTTACCAGAACTTAACGTGAGATTCACCTAAATTTTGCCTAGATTTTTGGCTGAATTTTTACCCGAGATTTTACCTGGATCATTTGCAGGTATCCCCAGGGAATGATGGATCCTCGGATGGCGGGCCAAATGCCGCCAATGAACTACGGGGCCGGTTATCCACAACACGCCATGTACCCTCATCAATTCGCCCAATACCCAATTAATTAGGAGATAAATTGATATAAATCTATATATATATATATATATATATATATATATATATATATATACTATATATGTATAATTAAGTGACCAACAATAGAATAATGATTGCAAGAAAAAAAGAAAAAAAGTCTACGGTCAAATCGAGGTATTACAGCTTCTCATGTACTCTTTTAATATAAATAAAATGGATGTATAAGGAAAAAAATAATAAATTCTGTCCCCCTCACTTTTTAAGTTAATAATTCCCACTAGGAGCTGGGCTCTACTCTTCATTTCTTGCCTTTTTCCGAGATTATTATCGAAATATGTACCTTTTCCTTCAAGTGATTCTCTAGTTTTTCCTTCCCCTCATCGCAAAATAGCTTAATACTTGTGTATATGTGCCGATCGAGTCAGAACAACAAAAATGTCAACTATTTCTTGTCCCCCCCCCATTTCTTCGTTTCCAAATGATCTTTGCGAGCTTATTTATGACCATTTTTTTTATTCAATTATGCATTGATTTTTTTCGTTTTTCGTTGGGTTTTTTGTCTACTTTTGGGACGGAGGAACGTGTTGGAAATGGAATTTTGGAGCGAAAATTGAATTTTTTGAGCTAAAAAGTTGAAATTTTGAAGCAAAAATAATGGGTTTCAAGACTTTTGAGCTGAAATTGTTGAAATTTTGGAGTAAAAATAGAATTTTTTTGAGGTTTTCGAGCTGAAAAATTTGGAATTTTTGGAGTAAAAAAATAGAATTTTTTTGCGGTTTTCGAGCTGAAAAAAATTTGGAATTTTGAAGCGAAAAATGGAATTTTTTTGAGGTTTTTAAGCTGAAAATTTTTGAAATTTTGGAGCGAAAATGGAATTTTTGATGTTTCTGTGCTAAAAAAATTGGAGGAAATTTTCGTTCCTTCCGATTTTTTTGCCGTAAAATGTTCATTTTCCTGAAATTTTTTTCAAAAATTTCCAATTTTTCCATTGAAAAAAACAAGGTTTTTTTCAAAATTGGCAATTTTGTAATATTTTTTTGAAATTTTTCGAAACCGTTTTTTTGTTAATTGTAAATGACTTTAACGTAACAAAGTTTCTTTAAAATTGAATTTCGCAATTTTTTTGTTCAACGTCTTCTTTTTTTCAAAGATGCTCAAAATGCTCATTTTTTTCCGAAATCCTTGACCAACACGTTTTGAAACGCCTCCCTGTTCATCTACTTCTTTTTTTCCAATATATTTCTTTTTTTTTCTTCTTTCTTTGACCCGGTGAAGTCAGCCGTTGTGCACTCGCCTCCCATTAACTGTATCTCGTCGTTTTTTTTTTCCTTTCCCTCTCAAACCTGTCTCATGTTCTCACCTTCCGACTATTAATTAACTTGTGGCCCAAGGATCTTGTTCTTCTGCTGTGTTTCTCTTTTGGGTTTCCATGTTTGTCTTGTTAATATTTTCCTACAATCCCGGTTTTTTCTTGCTTTTGAATAACATTTTGGCTCCATTGAGCTTTTAAAAAATTTTCCGTTCCAAACGGGGAACGTGGGCACATCAACAAAAACGACACAAAAAAGGTTATATCACAAATTATACGTTTATGTTAATAAATTCTGGTCTAGAAATCGTGTTATGCTCATCAAAAAAGGTCAAAAGTTGGGTGAAAAACAGGTCCAAAAAAATTTTGGACTGTCAAGCTTCATAACTCTCCTCATTTTCAAGCTACACAAAAAGTGATCATATCAATCGATTCGTCTCATTATCAGCTTTCGAATGATGTAAGACTTCAAGAGTTTTGACCGAATAGTAGGACGTCATCGACTTTTCCAGCTTACATCTCAGTTTTTCCCTCGATCAGAATGAAATAATTATCAATCGATAAAGCTACTTGATACAAATCCAATAATATAATTAGATCCATGATAACACATCAGAATATTGAGATGAGCTTACAAGCTGAAGCAAATATGAAGTTTCTAGATCAAGCTCAATCAATTGATTACTTATATCTAGGGACCGCAAAGCCACGCCCCTTTTCGCGATAGAAAAAGTGGCTTTTTTTTGGTTTTCAACTTTCATTTTGTTGTAGTTGTAAAATATGTGGAACTGGCGAATAAAAATTTGACACACATGTACAGAAAAGCTTCCTCTTTCGTTTAAAAAATATTTCACGCTTTCTTGATGCGTTCTCGCGGAATGTCGTACAAAAAAACGTGAATGGAACTAAAAAATTTTGTAATTTTTTGCTTTTTCATGTGTTTTCAGGTCGAACGCACTCTTTCTTTTTTTATATAATGATTTTGATTCAAGTAACGGTAATTTTGAAACAATAAAATAAAAAATTCGTCTTTGCCAAAAATTTTAGGGAGTGCCGAAAGTCATAATTCAAAATATCGTTAACAAGCGAATATAATCGAGTTTTTGTTTTTTCAAAATTTAGACCATGGGCTTACTTAAATTTTTCTCCACAGCATATGTACTTGAAAAAGTTTTGTGATACGCAAAAATGCTCTTGAAACTAGAGAATAAAATTAGCGGCGTTTATCACACCGAAAGCGGTCGAACGCAGGTTTTTCAAACGATTATATACATTTATTAGTAAAAAATCTTTCAATTAAAAGAATAAAATAAAAAATTCGTCTTTGCCAAAAATTTACGGGGCCGTTTTAAGGCAGCGATCGTTAAAAGAGGCAAAAAGCACTGAAAAAACAGTTTTTTCGAAGTGAATTTCCACGAAACGTTTGAGTAAAGATTTGCGAACATATTCTGATAAAAATAGCTAAATTACTTCAAGTTTTTCTTTTTGAAATAGACAATCTGTGCTATTTAAACGGCTCAAGGGTAAGGCGGATGGAAGCTCCCCGCGCTAGACCTGACAGCTTGGCGCAGTGCGTGCGCTGCGATTTTTTTCATTTTTAGGTCGCGAGTTCGATACCCGCAAGCATCAGTTTTTTTGTTTTCTGGAAAAATACCGACTTTTTCGGCAAAAATAGCTGATTAGCATCATTTTAGCACTCTATTATGATTTGTTACATCATAATAGACCAGTATCAAAAACTTTTTCTAGAAGAAAAAAATCGAGAAAAAAATGTCAAAAAAATGAATAATACTAAAATTTCAGTACTAAAAATGGTGCGCGGCGCGCCACATTTTTCGTCATAACTTTTTTCATCCTCAATCTTTTTCGAAAAACTAAACGGTTCTGAGTTTTGAATCGAAACAGCTATCAAACCATACAAAGCTCGATGCTGAAAAAAATTTTTTGAAAATTCGTCTGCGGTCCCTACTTATATCATTAGAAAGCTGACATTGAGACGAATCAATTGATATGATTAGATAAGCTGTAACTGCTCTCAGAGCCGAGATATGAGCCTCCAAAGTCTCATTCAAAAATAAACTTGCGCGTGAGATAAAATAAGTAGTGTGAAGTTGGGCGTCGGGTCATGTGCCCGCCTGAGGGCCTCATCGGTGTGGTTTCCTCGCGAAAATGGAAAAGCTCAAAAAAAAGTTGCGTTTTTTCAAATTTTTTCTAGTGTAATCGATGAAGCAGCTTCTATATAGTACTGTTATCATATCAGTTTCGAGGGAGAAGCTCGAAAATTGGGAAAAAAAGGTCCGAAAATCAAAGGTTCGAAGCTTTATATCTCCGTTCATTTCAATGTTTGAGAGATGAAGCACTTTTCTACTCACTTTTTCGGAATCTAGACGTCGATATCTATCGATTGACGTAAGAAAATCAATAATTTCGATTTTCGGGAAAATCGAAAAAAGTGCAGTCTAACCCCTTAGGTTTTTTTCGAGCTTTTGAGGTCATGGAAGGCGATCCAGACGAAATCTATATCAATCGATAGATCTCGACGAAAAAATAACCGGAGACCAGGTTTGACCTCTGTAGGCCAACTAGGAACTTAGTTAGAAGCGATCAAACTTAGAGATCGAAAATCTCAATTTTTGTCAATATTGGTATTAATCGATAGAGGAGATCACAAGAATTGAGAAAAACTTGGTCTCTAAGTCTCTAACCTCCTAAAATTCGAGTTATAATTTTTCAAAAAATTAAAAAATCATAACTTCGATTCTAGAAGCCTTGGAACCATTTGACCTAAATATTCGAACTTCTGACGTCATTCCCTATCGATTGATGTAGAAATCTCGGAAACTTTGGATTTAGAGAAAAACGAAAAAAGTACAGTCTACCCCTTAGGTTTTTTTTGAGCTTTTGAAGTCATGAAAGCCGATTTGGACGAAACTTATATCAATCGATAGAGCTCGACGAGAAAACAACCGGAGGCCAGGTTTGACCTTTGTAGGTCAACTAGGAACCAAGTTAGGGGCGATCAAAGTTTGATGTAAAATTTCAGATTGAGTCGAAATCATATTCAATTGATACAGAATGTCAAGAGAAGCAGAAAAAACTAGGTCTCGAAGTTCAGAACATCATATGAATAACTTATGAATTTCCAAAATGTCAAAATTCAAGCTTTTGAATGAAGCTTGATCGGTTTGAAACCTACATCATTAGAAAGCTGAGGACAAGACAAATCGAATGATATAAATAAATAAGCTGTAGCTGCTCTGGGATCCAAGATATGAGCCTCCAAAGTCTCCCTTAAAAAATAAACTTGCGCGTGAGATAAAATAAGTCGTGTGAAGTTGGGCGTCGGGTCGAGTGCTAGTCTGAGGGTCTCAACGGTGTGATTTCTTTGCGAAAAAGGAAAAGCTCAGAAAAAAGCTGCGTTTTTTCAAATTTTTTCTAGTGTAATCGATAGAGCAGCTTCTATATAGTACTGTTATCATATCAGTTTCGAGGGAAACGCTCAAAAATTGGGAGAAAAACAGGTCCGAAAAAATGGTACTTTTCGGACTTTCAAGCTTCATAACTTCGTTCATTTTGAAGTAACAAGAAAACTGAAATATATCAATCGATTTGTCTCGTTATCAGCTTTCCAATAATGTGAACCATGAATCGGTTGAGCTGCATCTAAAAACTTCAGACTCGCCTCAGCTTATAACTTGAAGTTCTGAAGTTGTTAGGGATTGAGATATTTCATTGAATCCGTCTCGAGCAGCTTTATCGATTGATAATTATTTCATTCTGATCGAGGGTAAACTGAAATTAAAGCTGGAAAAGTCGATGACGTCATACTAGTTAGTCAAAACTCTTGAAGTCCTATATCATTGGAAAGCTGATAACGAGACAAATCGATTGATATAAATACTTTCTCTGTAGCTCTAAAATGAGCGAAGTTATGAAGCTTGAAAGTCCAAAAGGTCCAATTTTTTCGGACGTCTCTCTCTCCCATTTTTGAGCTTTCCTCTCAAAACAGATATGATAACAGTACTATATAGAAGCTTCTTTATCGATTACACTAGAAAAAACTTTTAAAAAACCAACTTTATTTTGAGCTTTTCCTTTTTCGCGAAGAAACCACACCGATGAGACCCTCAGACGGGCGCTTGACCCTACGCCCAACTTCACACGACTTATTTTATCTCACGCGCAAGTTTATTATTCAGGCAAACTTTGAAGGCGTATATCTCGGCTCCCAGAGCAGCTACAGCTTATTTATTTATATTATTCGATTCGTCTTGTCCTCAGCTTTCTAATGATGTAGGTTTCAAACCGATCAAGCTCCATCCAAAAGCTTGAATTTTGACATTTTGGAAATTCATAACTTTATTCATATGATGTTCTGAACTTCGAGACCTAGTTTTTCCTGCTCCTCTTGATCTTCTCTATCGATTGATGATAATTTCGACTCATTGTGAAATTTTACATCGAACTTTAATCGCCTATAACTTAGCCCCTAGTTGACCTACAGAGGTCAAACCTGGTCTCCGGTTAGTTTCTCGTCGAGATCTATCGATTGATATAAGTTTCGTCCAAATCGGCTTTCATGACTTCAAAAGCTCAAAAAAAACCTAAGGGGTTAGACTGCACTTTTTCCAATTTTTCCGAAAATTGAAATTATCGATTTTATTACATCAATCGATAGGCAATGACGTCAGAAGTCCGAAAATCCGGGTTAAAAAGTTCTAAGGCTTCTAGAATGAAAGTTATGATTTTATGAAGTTTTTGAAAAATCATAACTCGATTTCTAGGAGGTTGGGAACTTAGAGACCAAGTTTTTCTTGACCTCCTTGATCTCCTCTATCGATTGATCTTAATTTTGACCAAATTAGAAATGTTCAGTATCTAAGTTTGATCGCCTCTAACTTAGTTCCTAGTTGATCTACGGAGGTCAAACCTGGCCTCCGGTTGTTTTCTCGTCGAGCTCTATCGATTGATATAGGATTCGTCCGGATCGGCTTCCATGACCTCAGAAGCTCGAAAAAAGGCTAAGGGGTTAGACTGCACTTTTTTCGTTTTTCTCTAAATTTAAAGTTTCCGAGATTTCTACATCAATCGACGTCTAGATTCCGAAAAAGTAGGTAGAAAAGTTATATGGCTGCTAGAAAAAAAGTTATGATTTTTCAAACTTTATCATTTTCGTCAAAAGTGCTTAAAACTCCTACAAACTAAGACCACTGAAAATCTGACATTGAGACGAATCGATTGATATTAATATCATCTTTCAAACTTTGCAATGAACGGAGATATAAAGCTTCGAACCTTCATTTTTCGGACCCGTTTTTCTCCATTTTTTGAGCTTTTTCCTCGAAACTGATATGATAACAGTACTATATAGAAGCTGCTTTATCTATTGCACTAGAAAAAATTTGAAAAAACGCAACTTTATTTTGAGCTTTTCCTTTTTCGCGAGGAAACCACACCGATGAGACCCTCAGACGGGCACATGACCCGACGCCCAACTTCACACTACTTATTTTATCTCACGCGCAAGTTTATTTTTGAAGGAGACTTTGGAGGTTCATATCTCGGCTCCCGGAGCAGCTACAGCTTATCTAATTATATCAGTCGATTCGTCTCAATGTCAGCTTTCGAATGATGAAGGTAAGCAATCGATTGAGTTTCACCCGAAAGATTAATTTTTGACCATTTGGATATTCACAATTCCATCCAAAAGCTCCTGACTTGCCACAGCTTATTGCTCAATGCTCTGATAAGTTATCTTTGATCATCATTATGCACAAATCTGATCTCTTTCGAATTAGAAAAAAAAATTTATTGAGTACCGATACATTCTGGGGACAATGAAGCCCTCTCTTTCTCATAATATGTATGGTAATAAGGATATAATTTAAATCAGGAAAATTTCTCACAAAGGTTAACGTAACACGTTGGAGGCTATTTTATACGGAAATAAAAGAAAATCAATCATATGAAATAAAAACAAGCATCAGAAATACAAAGACGAAAAATAATATTGCAGCGTGGGAGGTGCATAGAAGTCTAATAAAGAAAACAAAAGTTAAACTTTCAGATCACAGGATTTTTCAATAGAGCAAAGAACAGTAGCAGAGACGTTAATATTGGATTTTTTTGAAAATTTAGCCGCGTTTTTGATATTCGGCAAGCGGCTTGATTATTTCGTCTTCGTAGGCTTGAAGTATCGACTGGCACACGAACGTGTATTGACCCTGGAAAAATTTCGATCTTATCAAAAAAAATCTCAAGTGTCCAGGTAAAAATTAACCTTTAAAATTCGAAGACCTCAGAAAAACACTTTAAAACCCCAGTAATTCCCAGAAGATCCCAAAACTCCCGTCAATTAAAATTTCAAGTGTCCTAAGAAGAACGGAAAGAAAAATGGAGGTTTTTTGATCAAAATTTCCGCTAAAATTGCTCAAAAAAAATTCCAAGGACTGGGAATCGACCCCGCAAGGTCGCCATCTGCGCCAAATACCAGTTTCGAAGATATGACTTTTCAATTTTTTCATCTTTTATCACTTGGTCACGTTTTCAAGGAATATGGGCGCGCCAACAACCATCGCAAGGCTCCTACAAGCTTGGTGTAGTGGCTAGCGTGACAGTCTACGGCGCGCCTGATGAAGGTTCGATTCCCCTTGCCGCCAGAATCTTGCCAATTTTTCCTATACCGAAATTACAAATTAAAAATGCACACAAGTTTGATAAGCATATTTTATGAAAATCACACCGATTTTTTCCATTTTTTAAAGGTGCAGTATTCGCAACGCTCAGCATCAGAAAATCAATAAAAAATGGTTCAGAAAATTCAAAAGGCCCAAAAATTGGTTATTCTGCTAATTAATAAGTGATGTTGGAATCAGATCGAAAATCGCATTTTACAAACCGGACTACTGCAAGCGGTTTAGTCCCTTCCAGACAGAATATTGATTGATTAAAACCAACCGCAGTTTGAATGAGCATGGCGCGCTGATCGCGCATGTTTCGGACGATGTCGAGTGGGTAGACGGGCTCGTTGGACTCGACGAGGCACGACGCCGTCTCCATCAGGATCAGGACGCCGGTGCGGCCGATGCCCGCCGAGCAGTGCACCACGATCGGGTCGACGCCCGTCCGGGCTTTTCGCACCTGAATTCTCTTTTTTCTTTCTGAATTCATGTTTTTCGTTCTGAATTCACGTTTTTCGTTCAGTTATTTTGAGGCGATCAGTCGACCCTTCAGATTTTTTTAGGCCTAAATGTAATCGACAAGAGGCAGGTAGTGCGCTTGTCTAGGGTCCGAAGGGTCACAAGTTCGATCCCCGGACCCACAAAGGAGCCAAGGTGATGTCAGAACCTTGTCATCTACTTGAGGCCGCTCAAGAAGAAGAAGAATTCGATTTTTGTAGCGCAACAGGTTTTGTGCTTGTCTACGGTGCAAAGAGTCCCAGGTCCGACCCCCACCGCGACATAACTAAGGGATTTAAGAAGTGTTGTCCCAGCAATCACAAGGACGGAGAGGTTAATACAGTCTACTGATTATCACTGATATCAGGACATGACCTTGTCATCTACTTGAGGCCGCTCAAACGGTACGAAGGTGTAGGAAGATGATCGGAACTCGAGAAATGCCAAACCTCATCGACGAAGGAGATGAAATGTTTCGGATCGTCGGGAACGCCATGATCGGGCCAGGCAATGTATTGCATTTGCGTTACTCGTCGCTCTTCGCTCGTCTGAAAAGTATTAGATTGAAAAAAGACCATTTTTCTTTTGCTCATCATATCTTAGGCGCCCGAAAGCCCTAGACAAGCTGGGCGCCTTACTGTTCCTACATGGAGAAGCAGTGATTGTCGGAACGCTTGAAAATTGTCTACTACTTTCTCAAAAAAAGACGTGATGATCTACGCGCCGTTCTTGATCAACGACAGTTTCAAGAACCGATAATCATCTCTCATGACCCAGTGGAGAATCTTCTCTGAAGACTGAATGCATGCGTTTCAGACCTTTTTTCAACTCAAAACTCGACTATCCAAGAAAAACTTGTTCTATCTTCCCTGAAAATGTGAAAAATTGATCTCTCACCGATCGATCGCGGACGGAGAACTCGCGGTACCAGCAGTTGGGTGTCTGGCGCTCCTTGATGCACCGGACGACGAGACGGCCGTATTCTTGGCTTTCGTAGAGCCGCGGCCAGTACTGATGACACTTGACTCGGCCGCGTTCGGTCGTCGTCGTGAGCATGACGATGGTCGCGCAGACCTGCTCCCAGACCATCAGCCAGAAATCGCCCGAAGTGTGGGCTAGAGGGCCTTGGCAGGCGATGTAGCGGTTGACGATGCCCGACGATGGGATTTCCATCTGGAAAGGAAAAATGCGTCTAACTGTAAGCTTGAAATTCCATCTGGGTCATCAAGTTCAATAACCAGCTTATGCGTTCTCTGAGAAAGACCAAGTATTAATTCGAGCTTTTCCTCGAACACCGCCCTAATCTGCCCTTGCATCACAATTATAATTCCATAAAAGGGCGGTTATTATTGGCTGCAAATCCTTGCGAGAAAACTCACATTGACGTAATTGGCGTTGATGTAGTCGCCGCTGGGCGACGAATTAAGAAAAACTCGTGTTGCGTCATAAGGACAGACATCTCGGTACCTGCAAAAAACAGCTTGAAATAGGTGTTTGTCCCGTGGATGAGACGTATAGTTTGTTCAGATTTTTAATATCAATTTGTCGCTCAAGCTCCGCCCCTAATGACCCGATATGCCAATCAGAGAGCAAGCCATCCACTGATCATTTTCGAATGACGTCATCATTCATGACATACAAAATTTGAACAGACAGTATATCGTGTTCAAAATGAGTGCGCGAAATTTAAAATAGCGGTCAGAGAAAGAAAAAGATAACAGGATTTTGAAGAGTCAGAGATGATTTATTACTAAAATAGCTCTGAACACGGCAATGTACAGTATTTATACTTTATGAAGCTCAAAAAAAATCCTGAATGCGTTTTGAAACTTGAAAGCTGACTCTAAAACCCTCAAAAAATTTGTTTATCCAGTCGATTTCTGGAATGAACTGGTGCAACATTCAAGCACGTAAAAATAAAGTATAGCGCTCGAAAAAAAACCCCTTTTTTTCTTCATGAAACTCTCCAAAAAAAGGTTTTTAAAAAAATCAGAAATTTCCTATAATTTTATAAAAAAACCTGCAAAAAAACACCTCAAAAATAGTTATAAATCTTGTGGATTTCTGGAAAAACTCTCGTGACACACTTGTTATATACATAAAATGAAAAAAACAAAAATTCGAAAAAAATTTGATTTTTTTATCGTTCGAATCTCAAACATTTTTTTCTAAAAACCGCTAAAATTGCAAAAAAATTCAATTTTTTTAATTTAGGAGCCTCGGAAGTTTTTTTGTAACGTAGCTACTCGAATATTAAAAAAATTTACTTTGAAACCTATCACCTAAATAAAAAAACTTCTAGGTCTTCATTCTCACTTTATGAAAGCATGAAAAAAACAGGAAAGTCCAAAATTATACCTGTTTTTTTGTTAATATTCGACGACAACCGGCAGTCGTTCATCGCCAGCCCGGGCTTTTTTTCGGTACAATTGCTGGAAAAAAATCGAGTTTCAACATAGTCTGTTCGAAAAATAGCTTTAAAAAGTCTAGAAAAAAACATGAAAATTTAAATAATAAGATTCTTTTTTTGAATTCCAAAAAATTTCAAAAAGCTCACTTAAAATTACGCGGAATTTTTCTAAAAAACGCAATTTTGATACAGTTTTTCGTAGACAAAACCTAACCGAAAAAAAAATTGGTGGGAAAAAAATTTCAAAAAAATACATTTTATTCGGTAACTTCTATGAGAAAAAAATTTAAAAACCAAAAGAAAAAAATGGCGACCCATTTTGTCCGTAGAGACAACTTTGCTGTAAAATTCACTTTTGACGAGGATTCGAAATTTTTTTTTCTTTGATCAAGTGCTCTAGAAGTGAAAAACTTTGAGCAAAACTTGGGAATTTTGAGGAAAAAGAAAACATTTGAATAAATATTGAAAATCGTTGAAATACAATGAGAAGCATAACCAGGTCAATTTTCTTGAACCTTAAGTTTTAAAAAACCCCAAAAATAGGGCTTTTTTCCAAAAAGGTATACCTCAAACTGAGCGACAATCTTGCCGGTGGCCAACGTGTCGGAGAGTAACCGAAGCGACTGGGACAGCTTGTCGGACCTCGGAACGGAGTCGGCGACCCTGGCAGGCTCAGGAACACAGGCTGCGTCCGGTTCGTCGACCTCCTCTCCAAGTCGGTAGACTGTAAATCATTTCTGATTGTAAATTGCTCATGAAACTTCCTATTCTATTCTAAAAAAATTAATTAATTAGAAAAATTATTTATGACTGTGATTGGAGGATCTGTTCCAACGCTTTTTTTATGAACTTCTAGAACTTCAATCGAACTTTTGAGACCCTCTGCAGCCCTTGAAAGTTTTACAAAAAAATATCAAAAAAATCTTATAAAAAAATAATCAAAAAAATCAAATAATCAAAAAAATCAAATCTGACAGAGCTTTAAAGGCGTATTTAAAGACTCGCCAAAAAAATGTCTGGTGCCCCCTTCTACTGGCGCACCCCCTACCCGCTGGCGCACCCCCCCTTCTCACTGGCGCTCCCCACCCCCGTCTTTTTTTACTGCATCACAAAAAAATGTGAGCGTGAATGAGAGTGGGGGGGTCACAGACTTCTAACTCTTGAACTTGAACCAAAAACTCTCAGGATTTCCGTGGAACTGAGATACTTTTTCCACCATTTCCCCCTCGTCAAGCGTGGCGCACCCCCAACCCCAATTATTTTCCTGTATCACGAAAAAGGGAAGCGTGGGGGGCGCCCAGAGCCCGAGAAACACCTGTGAGGGGGGTCACAAACTACTGAAACTTCCTAACTCTGCTTGAACTTGAACCAAAAACTCTCAGGGTTTTCGTGGATCTGAGAGATACTTTTTCCATCATTTCCCCCTCGTCAAGCGTGCCGCACCTTACCCCTTTTCTGTATCACATAAATGTGTGCGTGAATAAGAGGGGGGCGCACGGATTACTAATTAAAACCGTACCATTGGGCTTGATGGTGAGGACGAGCTCTCCACCGGACGGAGTCTGTCTGGCCGATCGGATGAAGGTGACGACCTGGTCGTGGGACATCGTCGAGACGTCACGGCCGTTGATGAACAGCACCTGGAAGTCGAATTGTTCGACGTCTTCTTTAAGAAATTTCAATCTACTTCTCTTTCAGAAGCTTTGATCAACTCCTTGTTTCAGAAAACTCAATCGACGTCTTCTTTCAGAAGCTTTGATCAACTTCTTGTTTCAGAAATCTTAATCGACGTCTCTTTCAGAAGCTTTGATCAACTCCTTCTTTCAGAAATCTTAATCTAAATTTCTTTCACAAGCTTTTATCAATTTCTTCTTTCAGAAACTTTGATCAAATCCTTCTTCCAGAAGCTTTGATCAACTTCTTCTTTCCGAAATCTTAATCTACATCTCTTTCAGAAGCGTTGATCAACTCCTTCTTTCAGAAATTTCAAACGACGTCTCCTTCAGAATTTCCAATCGACACAGAACTTTCAGAGCATCTCTTCTGACCTGATCGCCTTCGTTGAGACGGGGCTGACACTTGTCGGCCGAGCTTCCAGGAGCGACTCTCGAGACGATCACCGGGTAGTTCTGGTCGGCGCCGCCCTTGACGTTGAAGCCGAACCGTCCGTGCAGGTCGGGCCGCATCTTCACGCACACCAGAGCATCCTCACCGACCGGCGAGTTTGACTGCAAATAATTTGCATATTTTCTTTTTTGTGTATTCAAACTTTTTTATAATGTATCCTCTGCTGATAAAAAAAATAGGAAAAAAAAAATAAGAACATAAAAAATCCTGCAAGGTATCAAATCCATCACATGAGGACCAAATTCCCATTAATCTGTACTTTGATCACTGGTTAGCATAAATATAATTCATCTTATGCTGAATTTTGAAAATAATTTCAGTTATCGGATCATTAAACATCAAAAAATAACATGAGCTGAAGATAAGAAGCTCCCTTAGGAACGGCAGAGTGGTCCCTCCAGGGGTTAGGGGAAAAGTCCCTAAAGCTTGAATGGTTCCTATAGGGGTTAGGGAGAAAACACTCCCTGTGAAAGGGACCGAAAAGTGCTCCCTATAGAGGTAAAACTTAGGTGGTCCCTAGAATGATTCAGAGTCTGACCCCCAAGTCCCTAAACCCAGAGTGGTCCCTCCAGGGGTTAGGGGCAAAACAGTCCCTGTAAATGGCCGTAAAGTGCTCCCTATAGGGGTAAAATTCAGGTGGTCCCTATAGGGGTTCAAAGTCTGAACTCTAAGCCCTAACCCCGAGTGGTCCCTAGAGGGGTCCGTGGGAAAACACTCCTTGTAAAAGGGCCGAAAAGTGCTCCCTATAGAGGAAAAACTTAGGTGATCCCTATAGGGGTTTATGGTTTGACCTCCAAGTCCCTAAAGCTTGAGTGGCCCCTGGAGTGTTTTTTCTTATTATTTTATAATGAAACTTAATCAATCAGAAAACATTTTTCTTCAAAAACGCTAATTATTGATTTTTTTTTTCGCATGGGAATGCTTCGTCTCATAAGACTCATACAACTACCCTTCAGTGGCCACTCATTAAAACTCCTCAAGAGGCCACTTATGAAAGCTTTAACGTTGCTTACAGTAGGGGATGAAGTGTTCCCTAGAGGGGAAGCTTCAAGAAACGTTAGGGCTGCCCCTATAGGGGCCACTCTGGCGATCCGAAGTGCAGGTGATAACCAAAAAGGACTATCATGCTCCCCTAAAGGGGCCACTTATTGAAACCCCTCTTTTGCAAGCTTCAGTGGCTCCTATAGGGAAGATAAAGTGCTCCTTAAAGAGGTACGTTCAAGGGCCCTGAAGGGACCACTTTCGAGTCCCTGGAAAAAATGATAACTTTATTTATCATTGACTAACCACCAAAATTTTGAAAAATGGATTCTGTAGTTTGAAAATTCTCATTATTCATCAAAAGTACATTCAGAAAAGCCTGCTTTTTCGAAAAACTCTGACCCGCATTTCCGAAAATTAATCATCAGTTTATATATGAAACGTCCATTTTCCAAGTATCCGTACTTGGAAAGAACTATGACTCACTATGAATCCCGAAGGATCCCGGAGAGAAACTCCATTCCAAGAACCAAAATTTCTATTTTTCGCTCATCAAAGCTCAGAAATTGCTCGAAAACAACTGGAAAGGATATTTTAAAGGAGAGAAAACTGAGAAGATCCTTATTCAAAGAAAAATTTCGGAAACTTTAATGCTTTTTAAGACCATCCTAATGGTTCAAAAAGACTAAAATATCCAAAAATCAGTACTGAAAATCCAAAAAAGCTGACTAGTCCAATCGTAGCCGACCAAAAACGGGGGAATAAAGTGGATAATTCCCAAAAAAGGAGGGAAAAGCTTCCCAAAAGCTCAAAATTTTCTAATCTTCAGACTTTAACTAGAACCTCTTATAGCTTCAAAAAACATCAAAAAAATCCAAAAATCCGGAAAAGCTGACTTAATTTGGAACCTTCCCAATGAGTCATAGATCAATAAAATATTCAAAAATCATTCAAACTTTTTTTGAATATTGATAAAATTCTACGATTTCGGGAAAAAAACACTGATTTCAGATCAATATGAGACCTTCCCACAGCTTCAAAAAACATCAAAAAATCCAAAAATCCGAAAAATTTGAAAAATCTGCCTCAATTCTGAACCTTCCCAATGAGTCACAGAACATTAAAATATCCAAAAATCATCCAAAAATACGAAAAAAAAAAGCTGACTAGTCCAATCGTAGCCGACCAAAAACGAGGAATAAAGTGGATAATTCCAAGGGGGAACTTTGCACGGGGAGGGAAAAGCTTTCCAACTAGGCTCCGCCCACTTTTTTCGTGTGTGAGCAATTCACGGAACTCAAGAAACATTATAACCGCACACATACGCTCATAAATATAATCTCTGTGTGGCCGAAAGAAATCACGTGAATGCGAGAAAATATATGTGGAATCGGCAATTTGTTCTTGGAAAATAATTTGTCAAATTGTAGAGTGGAGAAAGGCACGTTGTAGGTACACCGACCATTAATTTTTGGTTTCATTTGATGCGAAAAAATCCGAAATTTGAACCGATTTCATTCAAAAAAAAGCTAGGAGACCCCAACCAGAAAAAGTACCGTAAGATTGACGCCTTCCGTTTTAAAATCGTCATCAAAACACCCGGTACAGGAAGGAAATTTCTTCCGTTTCTCACTGATAATTGGCCGATAAAGATACATATTCTCTTCCTAGTTCTTTGTTCGATGATGCAAATTTTTATGTTCTGATGAAAATGTTTATGGGTTTACGAATAGTTTTCACCCTCAGAATAGTACAATTTTGACTTTCAGGGCTTTTGAAGGTTTATTTAAGCCCACAAAACGGTTAACTAGAATCTTGCTGAGAACTTCTGAAGAATGAAAAAAAAAGCAAGTTACAACTTTAAGGGCTATTTTTTGACCTTTCACAAGTTTCTCCTGAGATTCATGCTGATAAAAACTTACTGATCTCCAAAAAATAGCAGTTTTTTCGTTAGTTCCTTACTATTTCTTTCAGAAGTTTTTATGGGTATTCCTGGGAAAATTTTTAGTGGCCACTATAGATAGGGACCGCAAAGCCACGCCCCTTTTTCGCGATAGAAAAAAAGTGACTTTTTTTGGTTTTCAACTTTCATTTTGTTGTAGTTGTAAAATATGTGGAACTGGCGAATAAAATTTGACACACATGTACAGAAAAGCTTCCTCTTTCGTTTAAAAAATATTTCACGCTTTTTTGATGCGTTCTCGCGGAATGTCGTACAAAAACGTGAATGGAACTAAAAAATTTTGTCGTTTTTTGCTTTTTCATGTGTTTTTAGGTCGAACGCACTCTTTCTTTTTTTAAATAATGATTTTGATTCAAGTAACGGTAATTTTAAAACAATAAAATAAAAAATTCGTCTTTGCCAAAAATTTTAGGGAGCGCCGAAAGTCATAATTCAAAATATCGTTAATAAGCGAATATAATCGAGTTTTTTTGTTTTTTTCAAAAATTTAGACCATGGTCTTACTTAAATTTTTTTCTCCACAGCACCTGTGCTTGAAAAAAAGTTGTTTAATACGCAAAAAAATGCTCTTGAAACTAGAGAAAAAAATTAGCGGCGTTTATCACACAGAAAGCGGTCGAACGCAGGTTTTTTTCAAAATGATTATATACATTTATTAGTAAAAAAATCTTTCAATTAAAAAGAATAAAAATAAAAAAATTCGTCTTTTGCCAAAAAAATTTACGGGGCCGTTTTAATGCAGCGATCGTTAAACGAGGCAAAAAGCACTAAAAAAACAATTTTTTTCGAAGTGAATTTCCACGAAACGTTTGAGTAAAGATTTGCGAACATATTCTGATAAAAAAATAGCTAAATTACTTCAAGTTTTTTTATTTTTTTGAAATAGGCAATCTGTGCTATCTCAAACGGCTCAAGGGTATGGCGGATGGAAGCTCCCCGCGTTGGACCTAACAGCTTGGCGCAACGCGTGCGCTCCGATTTTACATTTTGAGGTCGCGAGTTCGATGCCCGCAAGCGCCAGTTTTTTGTTTTCTGGAAAAATACCGACTTTTTTTCGGCAAACTAGCTGATTAGCATCATTTCAGCACTCTATTATGATTTGTTACATCATAATAGACCAGTATCAAAACTTGTTCTAGAAGAAAAATCGAGAAAAATGTCAAAAATGGAAATACCAAATTTTCAGTACTAAAAACATGGTGCGCGGCGCGCCACCTTTTCCGTCATAACTTTTTTCATCCTCAATCTTTTTTGAAAAACTAAACGGTTCTGAGTTTTGAATCGAAACAGCTATCGAACCATACAAAGCTCAATGCTGAAAAAGTTTTTTTGAAAATTCGTCTGCGGTCCCTAACTATAGAGGCTCGTTAAGGACTACTTGGAGAGGACACTAAAGTAGCCACTCCCACCTCTATAGTGGCCACTATTTTCCGTTTTAGGGGCCGCTATAGAAGTTCTCTATTTAGTGACCACTTCAGTAATTTTCGTCCAGTATTCCTTCCACTAGGATAATTTTAAAACAAACATATTGAACCAGTTATGTTGATCCATTGACCCCTAAAGTGACCACTAAAATTTTTAGTGGTCTAGTAGTAGCACTTAGACCTCTATGGCGGCCACTAAGTTTTAAACCCTTAAGTGGCCACTAATTTGACTACTATAGTAGCCGCTAAAACGTCAAAACCCTATAGTGGCCACTAAAAATTTTCCCAGTTTGTCATCTTATTTCTTCCCTATAGTGCAAATTCGACTTTCAGACCTTTTTCAAATTTTCTATTCCTAAATTTCATCCATCTACTGTTTCTAAGTTTACTAGAGCCTTATTGAGAATTCATACATAATTCTAAAAAAAAAAGAAGAAATTACGGACGACGACTTATTACCACTTTGAGAACGTCAGAAACAATCTCAATGCGATTTTTTGACTTTTCTCAAGTTTTTTTCTTCAAGATTCATACTGATAAGAAGTTACTGATCTTCCAAAAAAAGCAGTTTTCTGAAGTTTTTCTTAATTTCTTACAATTTTAAGACCACTTTGGAATCATTTTATCGATTTTACCGCCTCTTCCTTTGATAAAAAGCTACGAATATCTTGAAAAATCAAAAAACAAAAAACCTGAAATTTCAATTTTCCCTCCTATTTTCATACAGGTACTAGCAGAGCTGTTCTCAAGTCGGGGCGACCCCGGCCGAGGCCGCCCCGACCCGACCGCAACGCGCCCCTGAGCGCCCCGGCCCGCGAAGCGGTTTTCATTCAGGCCCCCGAAGCGAGCGCGAGGATTTTTTTCCGTATTTTTTTGTTTTTTTATTTTAGTTTTTTTTATATTGAAAAATGAACTTTTTAAGTTATTTATGATCCATGAAAATTTTTAATTTTTATTGTTTTTTTGACAGAAATCGTGCTTTTTGATTTCACTTTTTTTCGCATCTTTTTTTCGTTTTTTTCTCTTTGTAAATAAATAAAATAATATTTCAAATAGTGGTTTGAATGAATTTTTTTGCAAAAAAATGAAATTCCTGATGATGTGAAAATTTCAAAATATTTTTTTATTTATTAATTTGTTTTCTCTAGTTCTGTAAATTGTTCTGGCCACTTAGGAAACTATTGAATTTTTGGATTAATATCTCATTTCATCGGTTTTTCTCTTTATGTGCTCGATAATAAATGTTTTTTTGTTTCACTTTCATTTCAGTAAAACTTGCGCTTTCCATAATTCACAAAAAACCGGGAGTCAAAACAAAATTTGTATCTACGGGTCGACCGAGTTGGCCCTTACCAAAGGCCGACCGCGGCCGCCCTCGAATACGCCGCAAGTCGGGGGGCCCTCGGTCGACCGCGGTCGCCCCGAGAACAGCTCTGGGTACTAGTACATTGAAGCTTAATTTAGAATAATTCAAAAAAATCTCTAGAAAAAAACTCTCATAAAAAAATTCAAAAAAACTCTCAGTGCGATTTTGAGCAATCACCCATCTTTTCAAGTTTTTTTCTAATACCAATCACTCAAAAAATCGATAAATCGATACCTTCTGACTTTGGGGCGATCTTCGGGCTCGTGGAGGGCTTCCGCCAACGCCAGCCGATGCGTGTGATGAATAGCTGAAATTGAGATTTTCATTAAAAATGTCATTTTCTCGATAAAAATCTCAGGATGAGCAAATGTCATTCTTATCGAGGTGGATGACATTTTGAACAAGGGGTCTGATTGCATTTTTATCATTTTTATCTACGTTTACTTGGAATTCGGTAGAGCAAACCGGACGTTTCTGAACTTATCTAGTGACCACTTTAGGGGCGTCGGTACTCTTAAGTCATCCCTAGAATCGCTCAGAAACATTTTCAGTTACCAAGGCCCGAGTACTCGGACATTGGCGGAACGGACGTGTCGGATCATTTCTAGTGACCACTTTAGTAGCGTCAGAACTCTTAAGGGGTCCCTAGAAACTTCCAGAGCGGAACGGACGTGCTCTGGACGTTCCTGAACTTATCTAGTGACCACTTTAGGGGCGTCGGTACTCTTAAGTCATTCCTAGAATCGCTCAGAAACATTTTCAGTTACCAAGGCCCGAGTACTCGGACATTGGCGGAACGGACGTGTCGGAGCATTTCTAGTGACCACTTTAGTAGCGTCAGAACTCTTAAGAGGTCCCTAGAAACGTCCAGAGCGGAACGGACGTGCTCTGGACGTTCCTGAACTTATCTAGTGACCACTTTAGGGGCGTCGGTACTCTTAAGTCATCCCTAGAATCGCTCAGAAACATTTTCAGTTACCAAGGCCCGAGTACTCGGACATTGGCGGAACGGACGTGTCGGAGCATTTCTAGTGACCACTTTAGTAGCGTCAGAACTCTTAAGAGGTCCCTAGAAACGTCCAGAGCGGAACGGACGTGCTCCGGACTTTCTGGGAGATTCGAGTGATCACTTCAGGGGCGTCAGTACTGGTAAGTGATCCCTAGAATCGCTCAAAATTCCCGGTTTCCGTCACAGAGGCTCGAGTAATAGCCAATTATCAGTAGAGCATATTTGACTTCATCTTGGATTTTGAAAACTGATTCATTCTCTGAAAACCCTAACCAAATTATGAAAATTTATCAAATAAATAATTTATACTGCCGGTTATCGATAGAGCAAAGTTGCTGTTTAAAATAGGCCTACCAAAAATTTTGAAGAACCTATAATCGAAACTGCCAAAGATTATCAATAGAGCAAACTTGCCGAGTAAATTCGATCCTTAAAAGTTTTTTAGAGCACCTATAATCAAAACTACCAAAGATTATCAATGGAGCAAACTTGCTGTTTAAAATAGGCCTACCAAAAATTTTGAAGAACCTATAATCGAAACTGCCAAAGATTATCAATGAAGCAAACTTGCTGTTTAAATTTAGGCCTTACAAGACTTTTGGAGAGCCTATAATCAAAATCACTGAATATTATCGATGGAGCAAACTTGCCGTTTGAATAAAAGCCTCACATTATTTTTAAAGAACCTAGAATCAAAGAAATAAGATATTGACAGAGATCATCTCTATAACTACTTTAAAAAAAACTCTCAAGCTTAAAAAAAATCAAACTTAAACTCCAAAATCTCGTTCCCACTGTATAAATCACCAAAAAAGCGTCGGAACTGCAAAATTTGGACGGAAAAGACGAATAAAAGCCTTGTTTTTCGCCGAGAAAATGACGAAGAAGGAAAAAAATGATTAATTTTTTCCAGGAAACTTCCTCTCCCAGTTATTTTGCAGCCGGAGAATGGGATGACGTGTTCATGGCAAATGAGGCTTTTTCATGTTCCCATTATTCAATCAACAAAAAAACTGGAAAAGCCTATTATTCAGCTAAAAGATTACTAAAAGTTATGTGAAAAAGCTATACATTTTATTTTTTTGAAAAATTACTCGATTTCTAATGACTTAGGTTCACGCAAATGTAGTAAGAAAAATGTAGTTTTGGACCTTTTTTTGTAGTTTTCACGAGTTCCCTCGAGAAAATTGTGAGAAATCGGGGACTAAATGTGAAAATTTTAAAAGCAACTCAAATGTGGCTCACTATTGCTCATGTTTGAAAAAATTAGAGATTTCTGTAAAATTACTCAAAACTGGAAAAAGTTTCAAGCTGCATATTCTCAAATATCGCCTGTGCTAGTATTTTCCTTTTCGTTCATTTTCCTTGGTCGCATTTGGAATGGCTCGAAGCGTCGCGGTTTCTATCAAGTAGTTAATTACTTGTTTCTCGATACCCTAAAGCGCAAGTCGTTTCGGGTCGGTCGCGCAGTGGAATAAACAGTTTTGCAGCCGTCACGAGTCGAGCCATTCCAAATGCGAACCTAACTGTCGTGAGTGTTTTACTGGCAGTTTTAAAAAAGTTTTTTGAAATCGAGAAATCATTTTTTGTTGATTTTTCTCCAAGTGGCCACTTAAGAGGTTCCTTGGGGACTACTATTGTTGATTTTTCGGCCACTTAAGGGGTTTTACGAGGACTGCTTGGAGAGGACTCTAAGGTGAAAAAATTCCCTATAGAGGCCACTATTTCGCGTCTTAGTGGCCACTGTAGTAGTTTTTCATCCGGTATTCCTTATGATCTCTTAAGTATTCACTAAGTTTAAATTTAGTATCACTTAGTTTTCTGAAGAGATAACTGAACTTTATCCACTGACGTGGCCACTAGAACATCAAAACCCTAAAGTGGCCACTAAAAATTTTCCTTTTTTGTCTTCACTCTGTTTTTTTTAATCTTTAAATCAATAGCTCCTGAAAAACAGTAAAAATTACCTGGCGACCGAATTTCTAGGACTGCCCGTCGAGCCGCCGACAGTCGCGGTAACGTGCGTCGAGTTGCGAGGCGACGAACGCGTTGTCGCGCGCGATATCGTTCCGTCTGTGAACATTTTTCAATAATGATTTTTATGGCTCCAAAGAACTGATTCAAAGGGGAATGACCTTTAGATTTGAATCTAAAAAATCCAATTTTCCCGAGCCCAAAAACTTCCCATCCATAAAATCGTGATGAATCATCAAAATTAATCAAAACAAGTCCAAAATTCCGAAAAAAAAACGTGGGTTGAGAAAGGGAAGCAAAAAAGCGCGCATTTTCTCAATTTTCACAGATCACTGAGCAATGTACGCCTCGTATTTCCTTCCTTGGAAGATTATTTCGAGCGAATTTCTCACGAGTTTGTAAAATTAGTTCGCTTCAACGCTTTTTGAAAAAACAGGCAAAAAAAAACGGAAAAGGGCGGTTTTTCTTGTGTTTGGAAGAATAAAAAACGATCCGTTTTAAAAAAATTTCTTTTATTCTTAAAAAAAGGAGAAAATTATCATGTTTTCCTGTTTCAAGCCCGAGATTTATATACAAACTTTTTTTGTTGTTATTTTTCGAAAGCTAGTCTTTATAAAATTTAAAAAATCAATAAATACAATTATCATATGAAATTAATATAAAGTCAAATGGTCCCTAGAGGGGCTGAGAGGGGAAAAAATGGTGCTCTTTTTAGGGGTGAGACTTACGTGGTCCCTATAGGGGTTCAGAGTCTGACCCCTAAGACCCAAAAAGCTCAAGTGGTCCCTATAGGGTTCTTTAAACTATTTTTTTCATGATTTAAAAAAATTAAAAAAAGAGAAACTTGAACAATTTTCTGTTGGCAATAATCGACTAGTATATCCCCTATAGGGGCCACTTTTGAGAGCTATAGTGGCCAATATAGAGGACTGGTAAAAGCGGTCCCTAAAGGGGAACCTTCTAGGGCTCCTGAACTTGCCCCTATAGGGGCCACTCTGGAGTTTGAGAGGCAAGAAGTTCGAAAAAAATTTTTTTTTCTCGCAGGCGATAAAATAAATTAAAAAAATCCAGGAATTTGGGGGGTTCTAGTACTCAAAAAAACCGCGGAAATCGTCATTTTTTTTCAAAAATCTATTTTTTTCCGGGTCAGTTCCAATTCTAGTAATGTTCTAATAAATACTAGTAAACTAGTAAATACTAGTGAAGGACCATATTTTTGGTTTAAAAATTGGTTTGGGCCAGGAAAAAAAGGTTTAATTATTACAGTATTTTATCTACATTAAGCCTGAAAGCGGGCGGAGCCAAAATTTTTTTCCGGGTCAGTTCTATAACTATAAATGTTCATATGGGAGCATATTTTGTTTTAAAGTTGGTTTGGACCAAATTGCTCCACTAGGAAAAAATTTTGGTTTCTACGGTATTTTTTCTACAGTAAGCCTGAAAGTGGGCGGAGCCTAAAAGAATCTTGGTTCTAAATATTCAAGAGGTTGTTCACTATCTAGGAGAGCTCTCAGGGACAAAAATGAAATTTTTGTATTTTCGAAAATCTCGGAGAACGTGTGTCAAGTTCATATTGATTTTTTTTTTGGGTCTGGATTTTTCTGGAATGACAAGCTACCGTGCAAGTCGAAGTATACCATTCGATACTTGATAAAATCATCTCAAACCCCTTTTTTATTCCAACAATGCCTTCGACGAGGATTTACTGAGAACTCACTTCCATTGGAAAAAGCATTGGAGCTGGTGGCCGGGGCGGCGAATCCGTAGCCGTTCGAATAACCGTTGGAATAGGCGACCGGCATCGATTTCCGAACGGAGTTCATCGAGGCGCCCGTCGAGCCGTTCAGATGCGGCCGGTGGTGGACGCTGGCCGTCATTCCGGACGTCGAAGTGCAGGCCTGCAGAAAATAAATTATTATTAGGATACTTTATACTCGATCACATTCCAGTTTCACTTTCAGTAAAAATAAAAACAATCAAAAAAAGAGTTCGATAGTTCTAACTGAAGGTATTCAAAAAAAAAAAGTTCTATTTTCATCAAATAAGCGAAAAGAATGACCGTAATCGAGGTATCACCAAAAAGGCCAAAAACCTATTTTTTGCCTTTTTTCGTCCAGAAAGTTCTACCGTAACCATTTTAGTCCATTTCACCAGATACATACAAAAAATGACTCATAATGAAGACTTTTTCCTAAAAAATGTAAAAATAACCCCATTTATTTTTATTTCCTTCGAACTGCTCAACGAAACTGTTAGCAATGGAAACTAGTGTCTTTTCTGGAATTTTTTTCTGTTTTGTTTTCTTCCATTTATCGTCCAGAATGTCCTACCGTAACCATTTCAGTTCATTTTATCAAATAAATACTAAAATGACTCAAAATGAAGACTTCTTTCACCAAAAACTCCGAAAAAACCTATTTTTGTTTTCTATTCAGCCTTCAAAAATTTCCAGATTCTTTATTTTTCCCACCCAGAAAGTTCTACCATACCCATTCTAGTCTATTCATCTGGATAGTTACAAAAATGATTCGAAATGAAGACTGTTCCACCAAAAACTCCGAAAAACCCCATTTTTTAACGGATTTTTTGGAAACGGAGGCAAGAGTTTCTTTTCTCGAATTTTATTTTTTTTTACCCGAAAATTTCTTCCGTAACCAATTAAGTCGATTATTCCGGATTAAAGCCAAAATAACTTTAAATATAGCAAAAATGCCGCAAAAACCTACTTTTTTGTATTCGCACTTTAAATTTAAGATTTTTTTTTCTATAGGGTTTTGACGTTTTAGTGGCCACTATAGTAGTCAAATAAGTGGCTACTTAAAGGGTTGAAAATTAGTGGCCACTATAGAGATCTAAGAGCTGCTACTAGACTACTAAACATTTTAGTGGCCACTTAAGGGGTCAATGGATCAAAATAACTGGTTCAATCTGTTTGTTTTAGAACTATCAGAGTTACTGGAAGGAATACTGGATGAAAAACTACTCAAGTGGCCACTTTAGTGTCCTCTCCAAGTAGTCCTTGGCGAACCTCTATAGTGGCCACTAAAATTTTTACCAGTTTGTTCGTAACGTTCTACCGTAACCCTTTCAGTTCATTTTACCACATTTATACAAAAAGGACACAAAATAAAGACTTTTTCCACCAAAAAATCCGAAAAAACCCAATTTTTAACGGATTTCCTCCAAACTGCTCAACGGACTTGTTGGCAACGGAGACGAGTGTCTCTTTTGCTGCCTTCAAGTCAGTCATTTTCTTTGTGTAAGTCTCTCTCAGGTGTCTGTGTGTGTGTGTGTGGATTTGTCAAGAGGTTACGCCGCCGCGCAGTGTCGACGCAAGGTGAAAAACACCGCACTCGCACTTGGCACCAAACATTTTTTGTTCGTAAGATTCTTGAAATCCAGTTTAAAAATTCAGAAGAAGATTCATGAAGATACGTCAGAGGTAAATATCATTTTTATGTATTTAGAGTGGGTCTTGTAGCGCTTTAGGCTTTAAAATTGTTTCAAAATGAGCCGCACGTGTCTCCTAATGACGTCATTTTCACGTAGAAGACCTCAAAAATGACGTCATGAAAATTTTATCAAAATAATCAACGAAAACCGTTAATGAACTCAATCATTTTTTTAGGACTTTGAATACTTTTTTTGCCTCCAAATGACGTCATTGTCACGTCAAAAAAATGACGTCATAAAAAAATCATAAAAAAAGTTTTTCACACAAGGGTAGAAATATTGTTTCGAAATTAGCTTCATAGGCCTCGAAAATTTAAATATTATTTCTTTTACATTTAGAGTGGGTTTTTTTCGCGTGTTTGGTTCGAAAAAAATTGCTTCAAAATGAGCCTGAAATGCTTCCGAATGACGTCATTATCACGTAGAACGCCTCAAAAAAATGACGGCATGAAAAATTTTATCGAAAAATAATCAACAAAAAAACCATTGATAAATTCATTCATCCTTTCAAAAATTTTTCAAAAAAAGTTTTTTTTCGCGTGTCTCCAAATGACGTCATTATCACGTAGTAAGCATCAAAAAAATGACGTCATAAATATCATGAAAAATTTTTTTCCCAGATGGTTAAATTTTTCTGAAACGAGGGCCTCGAAATGACGTCGTTTTCACGTAAAAAAAGCTTCAAAAAGACGTTAAAAAAATCATGAAAAAAATTTTAAGGCCAAAAAAATCTACAAAAAAATTATTTCTATTTGTCAATCAAAAAAATTAAAAAAAGTGACTACGCTCAATACCTTCCTCATAACCTTATTTTTCACGAAAACCTCTTCAAAAAAATCATTTTTTTATGATTGATCAGAAAAAAACGTTTAAAAAAATTATAAACTTCAATTTCCACCGCTACGGAACTTTTACTCGTTGAGTCATTCTTTTTACGTCCGATTTCTCCAAAAAAGTAACTTTTTCGATTTCAATCGGTTCGTTTTCAAAGCTTCAAAACCGATGTGGAGGTTAGCGAAAGTGAAGAAATGTTTTTGGAAGGTTTCTTCTTATCAAAATCGATTAAAGATACCAAAAAGCAGCTGAAAACCACAAACTATAGAAAGATACTTTTAACGAGAAAGGAGTTTAAAAAAAACCAGTCAAACAATTTTTCAGTATGAAGCGTTTCAAACTCACTTATAGATGCCCTTGAGCCTCGAGAAAAATAGAAAAATGAGCTCCAAGCTCCAAAAAAGTTACAGAAAAAAAAATAAACCTCTGGAATAAATTGGGAGAAAACTAAAGAGAAACAGTGCTAGAAATTTATCTCCTAGAAAAAGTTCCTGAAAATCCCAAAAACTCTTTTTTTTGATCTCAAAATGGAGATAAAATTGCAAATTTTCTAAAAAACTTGGGATTTTAGGAATTTTCTAAAAATAACTCCCGAACAACTTCGACGCAAGTTCTTTGTCTTAATGCCATTTTCAAAAATAATTCAGAGTTTTCTCTGACTCTCCAGAATCCCGTTATCTTTTTCAATCTCTGACGGCTATTTTGACATTTGTGGTACATTTTTTTGAACACGGAAAAAGCTTTTTGAAAAAAACATTCCATAACATATTTTTTTTCCTTCTAAACAGGAAAACTTGATAACTTTATCACTCAATGAAACTGTTTGATTAGCCTTTTTTTCAATAGTACCTTGTTCAAAGTAATCTCCACAAAATGAAAAATTATCTCTGACTCTCCAAAATCCCGTTATCTTTTCCATTCTCTGACGGCTAATATGAATTCACGGGATTTTAAACTCCTTGAAAAGAAACCAGCTCGTGAAACCACGCGATTTGCTAAAATTATCCCCAAAATTGACGTCAAAGGAGCAGAGGCATTGGGGTCGCCTACTTGAAAAGTGTGTTAAGAGGCGAAAAAGAGCGTTCGAAAAAACGGCAAAAGTGTGCTCAAAAGTCAGTTACGAAACGGTCTCTCAAGAGCGTGGCAATACTCATTGGAGGTATAGTAGTAAAAGAAAGATTTCTGAACACATCTCTCGGCTCCCATAAGTCCTCAAACATCACAGCTTTTCTTTTTTGAGAGTCAAGAAACAGCTCAATAAGCAATTGATAGTTTCTAGTGATCAAAAAATGTAGAAAATCAGGAAAAATGATTTTCCAAACTCTGCAAGGCACAAATATTCGAATAAAACTTAAAAAAGCAATCTGACTCTTAATAAATTTCAAAATCCGAAAAATCATGAAAACTAGGCCTGAAAATTAAAAAATTGGCCGAATAATCGTAAAAACTTGGCCAGAAAGTTTAAAAAACGGCCGAAAATCAGGAAAACTTGGCCAGAAGATTAGAAAAACGGCCGAAACCCCATGAAAACTAGGCCTAAAAATTAGAAAAACGGGCGGAAAATTGTAAAAACTTTACCAGGAAGTTTAAAAACCGCCGAAAAATCATGAAAACTAGGCCTGAAAATTAGGAAAACTAGGCCTGAAAATCAGAAAATCTTGGCCAGAAGATTAGAAAAGCGGCCGGAAAATCAGGAAAAAGCTTTGCGGACCAGAAAAAAAAATCGTATTATCCCCAAAGTGAAGCTCTAAAACATGTTTGTTCAACAAAAATCCTCACTAAGATTCGGACAAAAAAAACAGCTTCAATAATGAAAAGAAGCTTTAAAGTGCCTTTCCAGGTCAAAATTTCAATTCTAGACCTCATAAAACTCGGAAAAAACTGATTGACAACTCCGAGAAATCGAGAAAAAATCAAGAAAGTTCAGTTCAATCCAAATACCGCCAAAAAAAGACTAGAAAAGTCCCGAAGTCGAGTCATGACTAACTAATCTACAAAAATCCACAACGCAAAGTTCCTACGAATATCTCAGAGGTCGAGGTGAGCAAGAACAAAAAAAAAGAAGTTAAAAAAAGAGGCCCTTGAAAACGGAGAGAAGAAGGAGGACGGCAATTGACCTGCTTGTTGAACTTTTTGATGGTTTCGACGTTGAAAAGATTGAAACTGCAAGAAATGACGTTCGAAATCAAACTTCAGTTCGAGTTCAAACCATAAACGAAGAGATGAAACTTGAGGTAGGAACAAGATTTCAGAAGGAATGTTTTCAAACTCCTTGATGATCTCGGCTTTGAAAACTTTGAAGAAAAGAGGAGACGACGTTCAGAATCAAAAAAAGACAGACTTCAGATCGATTTTAAGCTATAGAAGAAGAAAAAAAAGCTTGAGTTGGGAACAAGATTCTTGGAGAAGCCTTGTCGAACTTCTTGATGAGCTCGACGTTAAGTCAAGACATTAAAAATCAAGTTTTCCTACAAGAAGACGTTCAAAATCAAGCTCCAGTTCGATCTCATTCAAGTCAAGCTATAGAGGTAGAGATGAAGCTTAAGTGAGATACAAGATTGTCGGAGAAATAAAGACGTGATTGGGCAGCTCAAAAAACCAGATCCCTAAACGTTGAGAAAACTGTATAATCAGCAGTAAAGTTTAGAGAAAAGACTAAAATCTTCGTAAACAGTTCAATTTCAATAAAGTCAAGCTATAAAAGAAGAAATGAGTTTTGAGTTGGAACCAAGATTTCAGAAGAAATGAGAAGCTGCTTTTTGAGCTTTTTGATAGTGTTTGCGTTGAACTCAGATTCAGAAAAAGAACCTCGGACGGGTTTAATCTCGACTAAAGCCAGACAACTGAGGACCCGCTTATTGAACAACTACAACTTCTTGATAGTCTCGGCGAGGTCAATCGATTAACATTTGAGAAAACTGAGATGAAGCTTGAGTTGGGGACAAGGCTCTCGAAGGATAAGGACCTCCTTCGATTTCTTTATAATCTCGGCGTTGAACTAAGAAGTGACCGTCAAAATTAAAGCCTCAGACTTGAGTTTGATCCCGACAAAGTTGAAGAAACATTTTTTCAAGGCCAAGGACCTGCTTGTTGAACTTCTTGATAGTCTCGGCGATGTCGATCTTGCCCGGCTGGGAGTTGACGCGGAATGTCACCGGCTCGGCCGGCATTCTACCGCCGCCGCCGCTTCTACCGTAGACCGCTGTCGTCGTCGTCGTGGCGTTGGATGGGCAACGACGCCCGCGGATGAACAGCGCCCAATCGCACCTCTTTCTGATTGTCTTTCGAGTTGAATAATTTCAAGGTGAGGGGCACGATTGTTAAGAAGGATATATGAAAAATAAATGGATAAAAAAAAGAATTTAAAAAAAAGGGGCAAAAAGATCACGAACGAAAATTCAGGTTAAGTACTATGTAATGAATGTTTAAAATATTGAAAACTGAAGCTGTAGATGAACAAAAGTAATCAAAAATCACGAAAAATCAAAAAAATTCAGATCGATCTTTAAAAAAATTATAATTTCTTGACTTCATTTTTTCGAGCCAGATCCGAATAAATCGAAAAATTGACATTCAAAAAAAAATCTGATGGGGCTCAAAAATGAGGTTAATTAGAAAATTGCGGAAGCTTGCCGATTCTGAAAAAAAGTCACAAAAAAAAATCAATAAATCGAAAAATAATCCCTTAAGTCTAAAAGCAATGAAAAAAGTGAAAAGCTGAATTTTTCCCATAAAAAGAGTCGAAGAAAGGAAAAAAAAAAAGGAAAATCAAGATTTTGGAACTGGTAAAATAATCCGAATAGTTAGAAGCTCAAGATTTAGGAAAACCCAATCTTATCAAATCAATAAAAAAATGATACAACCGAAAAAAAAAAATCAAGCCAGAGCTTTCAAAGGCTCAAAACTATGTAAAAAAAAGATGGTGTGATCCAAGTTCAATGAGATGAATGGAATAAAGGGGAAAAGTTAAGATTTGTCAGTAGAAGAGAGTGGAAAAGAGGGGAGTCGGAGTGCAAAACGTCGAATCTCCTCCTCATGTGTGTGTCTGTGTCTGTGTACAGCCCTCCTCTGGAGGGAGAGAGCGCAGACGAAGAAATACAGTTCTTCTTCTCCTGCTGCTGCTTCTTCCGAGTTGTGCTCCTCGGCGAGAGAGAGATCGGAAAGAGCTGGATGCAGAGCGAGGAGGAAAAAAACCGCGGCGGGGTAACCGGCGGTAGCGTCGGCGCGGCTGGTCTGCGGACCGGACTCCCGCCAGCAGCCAGCCAGGCCTAACCCGACCGCCGTTCACAAATATGTCCGTCCCTCCGCTCCGCACACCGCTTTGCAGATACATTTGAGTGTTTGTGTGTCGAAGAAATATATATCTCACTCCTCTTTACGATTGGATTGATCTTGAAACGACCAATTTCTTCCCGTCCTTTGGCTTGAACGGAAAGCTAGGCTGATCGAACTCCTTTCCTCAAGTATTGAGCCAGTTCAAGGTATATGATGAGGGTGAAAGTTATATATGTCATATCAGTCTTCTGTTTATCACTGATATAAGGATACAACCTTGTTTCATCTACTTGAGGCGCCGGACCCGCGTCGAAGAAATCTTTACGATTGGATTGGTCTTGATCCGACAGACTTCCAGCTCTACTTGACCTTTTGACTTACAGCTCTTCTTATCCAGCTTTTTTCGAAGTTCCACCTTGCAGATACATTTGAGTGTTTGTGTGTCGAAGAAATATATATCTCACTCTTCTTTACGATTGGATTGATCTTGAAACGACCAATTTCTTCCCGTCCTTTGGCTTGAACGGAAAGCTCGGCTGATCGAACACTTTTCCCAGGTATTCAGCCGGTTCAGATATATTATGTAGGTGAAAGTTCTGGTGACTTTGATCAAGAGTTCAAAAATCCATACAGCCGACTCAGAGCTGACTTCAGTCTCACAGTCTTGTTAGAGCTTATCCAGCTTTTTTCGAAGTTCCACCTTGCAGATACATTTGAGTGTTTGTGTGTCGAAGAAATATATATCTCACTCTTCTTTACGATTGGATTGATCTTGAAACGACCAATTTCTTCCCGTCCATTGGCTTGAACGAAAAGCTCGGCTGACCGAATTCCTTTTCCTAATTATAGATGGTGATCAAAGTTAGGGAAGTTATGGTGACTTTGAGAGATGATACCTTTGATCATGAATATAAAAATCCATACAGCTTACTCAGAGCTGACATCCGTCTTACATCCTTGTTAGAGCTTTTCCAGTTATTTTTTTCGAAGTTCCACTTTGCAGATACATTCGAGTGTTTGTGTGGAAGACTCCTCTTCACGATTGGATTGGTCTTGATCAGACAGATTTCCATCGTTCGGTTATGTTCTTTGAGGTACCGCTTAAAAAATACTTATTTCATGTAGATTTTATACGGCGCGCCGTAGCGTAACAGCTTCCGTGTCTGTAAACGGTCCAAGGGTCACAAGTTCGTTCGCCGCCAGGACTCAACCAAAGGGCTTGATGTCGAAGATAGAAAACCACGGCTTCACAGTCCCCACTGTCATGTATAAGAACGGATATGTCCCGCCAATCTACTGTTTATCACTGTTATCAGGATAGGACCTTGTCTTATCGACTTGAGGCGCCGAACCCGCGTCGAAGAAATCTTTACGATTGGATCCAGACAGACTTTTAGCTCGGCTTATCATTTTCTTCTTCATTTCAACTTGAAACTCTTTGAGGTCAACTATACTTCTCACAAAGATTCTTCAGGTGTTTCTGATGTTTTTATTCTGAATCAAGTGATAGGAAATCACTATTTATGAACATCACATGTACAAGACAAACTTTAATATGAAGTCTGTCAAAATTTACCCTTCCACTGAATCAAATAAGTATATATCAAAACTTTAAAAAGTCGGATAGAAAGTCCTCGTAAGAAAACGGAAACTATAAAAGGTCTGGTTTTATAGAGTTACATCTGAAGAAAAACTTCTTGAACCACCGTTTTTTTCCACAGAGCAAACTTGCCCGAAAAAACTTGTCAAAACGAGCTTATGTACACACGTTCAGCCTGATTCCATGTAGCTTGGTCACAAATAAAAGAGAAAGAGCCGACGCTCGAAAATCCACGTTACGGAGGTCTAAGATACCTTGGAACAGTCTGACCTGTCTGGGCCCTCTTTTCTCTCACCGGTGAGGTCATAGAAACGTGAAAAAAAAGCTTTTAACACAAGATAGTCATAATTTCCAATCATAAATCCGACTTTTAACAGTTTTCCATGAACTAATGTTTCATATCATTCGCCACGACTCGAAACAATCTGACCTGTCTGGACCCTCTTTTCTCTCACCGGTGAGGTCATAGAAACATGACAATAGCATTTAACTCAAGATAGTCACAATTTTCGATCATAAACCCTGCTTTTAACAGTTTTCCATGAACTAATGTTTCATATCATTCATTCGCCACGACTCGAAACAATCTGACCTGTCTGGACCCTCTTTTCTCTCACCGGTGAGGTCAAAAGAGCGCGTAAAAAGGAAAGAGTCGCAGAGAAATCAGAACATTCGTGGCTCATGAATAATGAGTTTTCCGATGTGAAACACACCTGCATATTGGGGGTCCAACTTCGTTCGTCGGCGGATTCGTCCTCGCTGGCGCCGCCGACGACGTCTTTCCGGAACCCGCGGCGGAGCGATGGCACCGATGACTCACTGAAAATCGGAAAATAAGTTCCAAAATGACCATAAAAATATATAAAAACACCAGATTTTCAATGGATGATCTTGAAAATTTGATTGGATTTAAGATTCAAGAACACAAAGAAAACCTAAAATATTCAATGAATGATTCAAAATTTTCAAAGAAACATGATCTAAAACTTTTTTTCCAATCTCTCCCTTATGGGAATCGACATTAGACAAAATCCTTAGGCAAGAAAAAAAAAGATAAAAAAATGCCAAAAAAAAAAATCCAAAAAAGCTCATTTATCTAATTATTTATGGGTCGAAAAAAAGGAGCTTCTCGTAGAAAAATCGGGAAAATCTATCTTTTACGCCACTCCCACGAAGTAAATCCCAGGAAAAGTAAAAAAAAATTGCCGAATCCCCTTGAGAAAAGAACAAAAATAGTTTCAACATAAATGAAAGTACGCTCTACTGAGAAAAGCCTCCGTAGGTTCAAAATTAATTATTTTGATTGACATAATCGCTCAATCATAAACTCAGGAGGTCAGAAAACTTTTTTCGAAATAAAAAAAAATGGTTTTCAATTTTTCATATTGGTTTACAGGTTGGAAAAGTGGTACAAAGTTCCAAGAAGAGTGAAACAATTTTTAAAAAAAGCCTTCTATTTTATGCATCTTTGCTACCTTCCCCTTATCTCTATCACCATTCCCAGGTCGAAAATCACTTCCCGAGCAAAAGTTTAATGTTTTCCGAGTGAGACACAGAGCAGAAATTACACAGGGAAGTCAGGTTTTGTTGTCATTTTTCACTTTGAAAGCCGCAAAAGCTTGAGCCGAACCTTGTCGGCGAGTTTTGTTCCGACAACTGAGGAGAATAAATAGATTTTTTTAGGAAAAAAATTCTGAGAAAGTTGAGAAAAATTAATCAATACTTCAGAGCCTTAAATCAGTCTACTTTGTGAAAGAAAAAAATTTTTCAAAATTTACAAAAAAATAATTTTTTTAAAAACTTGGACAGTTATAACAGCCTTTGAACAGTAGAAATCAAAATAAAAACTTTAAATTTTCGGTTTCAAAACTTCCCAAGACGCCAAAATGTTCAACTTCTCGATAGAATGAGCCAAAAAAAGCTATTCTAAAAAAATAAATAATTCAAAAATATTATCCGAAAAAAACGGTTCAAAAAAACATCCCAAATTATCAAATATGGAAAAAAATGGTCGGAACTGCTTCATAAATAAAAACTTTTTTTCAGTTTTTTTCAATCTAAAAAAATTTTAAAAAAATTCATTGCATTATATCAGTTCAAAGTTCAGAAAAAAACCCAGAAAAAAACAGTCGTGAAATTCTAAAAAAACATGAAAAAACATTTAAAAACTCGAATTTACCTTCAAAAAAAGCCCATTCAATTTATAAAAAAACCCGCTTCCTTGGAGAATTGAGACAATGAAAACTAACAAAACCATTAAAGAAAAAGACCAAAAACTTCAATTTTCATTAAAAAATAAGATAGTGTCCGTTCAAAAAGCGAAAAGAACTGAAATGAGAGTGAGGCATGAAGAAATTGGGAGGGAAAAGGTGTTGGGAGAAGTGATTAAAAAAAGAGGAGAGAAAAGGGTGAAGCCTGAACGTGATATTGGCAAACAGACAGGCTCGAAATCAGCTTGGTTTCATGGAATTTTGGAGCATAGTTATGAAAAAAACCGTGGAAATTAAATGAAATAATACTTCAATTTGCTCAAATGCTTTTTTTATTAAACTAAAACAAAAAAGTCCAAACGGCAAAAAACTTTTGAAAAAGGCGTCTTGAGAGAATCAAGAGACTCTCCTATGCTTCTCATAAAAAAATTCAAAACGAAATATAATAATAAAATTACGAAAAACAGGCCAAAAACCAACAGAAAAAAATTAATTTAGTCGTAAAATTGGACGTTTGCGGACCACTCGGTGTTTACGGCTTGACTGTTCACAGTAACCCGGAACCCGAAAAAAATAGAAAAATTTTCGCTTTTTTTCATGATACAATTTTTCGAAGTCTCCACTAAAAAAAGCATAAAATTTTTTTAACTGAAGATCTTTTTTTAGATTCAATTTTTTTCAATATTTTTTTGATCATTTTTTTCAACTTTTTGCAATTTTTTTGAAAAATGTGCGCTTTATAAAAAGAATTAGTAATGGCCAATCCGTAAAACCTTACTTGAAAATTTTGAAACAGTAACTTCATCGTCAAAAAACAAAACTACTTTTCAGACGAAAAACTGGTCCAAAACTCGTTTTTTAAGCCGAAACCAACAAAAAACCACCATTAGTACGAAAATAATTGAATGACCTCCTTTTTAAAATTATTAGGGTTAGGAAAACTGAGAATAAACCCAAAATGAGCACAGAAAAGCTACGAAAAGCCTCTAAACCTCAAGAAAATTTCATTTTCTTCGAAAATTCTCGTCCGGAAACGAACAAAAGTTATTTTTAAAAGGACTTTTCAGTCCTAGAAACTTCAAAATTTGAAAAACTTCATCTCAAGACGAGCAGGCTACAGGGAAAGCTACTGAACGACACCACGACCCTCAATAAACTACTCAGACCAGGATTATACTCAAAATAAACCAGTTTTTCAAGAGAAATTTGAGCAAAACCACAAAAAAAATCTTTGAAAAAATTCCCTTTGAACAAGTTGACAAGAAACCTCAGCTCTTCAAATTTTTATAAAATCATAAAAAGCCTTGAAAAAGGATAAATTAGGAAAAATTGGTAGAAATTGCAAAAAGAAGAAATTTCAGTCTAAAGAAAGCTATCAGAGAAGCTGAGAACCTTAAAAAACGACTTTACCCACCAAAAAAGTCTTATAAATCCTTAAAGACCTAAATTTAACAAATACCAGGAAAAATTATTAATTAAAAAAAGAACGGTAATGTACATGAAAAGCTACCAGACGTTTTCCTCCTACTGGGAGAATTTTTAGTGGCCACTATAGAGGCTCAAGGACTACTTGATGAGGACACTAAAATGGCCACTAAACCCACCTCTATAGTGGCCACTATTTTCCGTTTTAATGGCCACTGTAGAGAATCTCTATTTAGTGACCACCTTCAGTAGTTTTTCCCCAGTATACCTTGCAGTAACCCTGACAATTTTAAAACAGGTTGGACCAGTTATGTTGATCCATTGACCCCTAAAGTGGCCACTAAAACTTTAAGTGGTCTAGTTGTAGCACTTAGACCTCTATAGTGGCCACTAAAACGTCAAAACTCTATAGTGGCCACTTCCCAGTAATTAATTAGTAGAAAAAATAGACGAATTGAACGAGTTTGACAAGTTGAAGGATAGCAAAAAGAAGTGAGAAAAATCCGATTTATCAGAAAAACGTATCGAGAAGGAGTCCTAATGGAACCAGCCTCCAGAGGGACAGCCAAAAAATTGGCCGGGATCAGGCCTAATTGAACGGAGATATGGAGAGGGCGGCCGAGAAGCTGAGGAAAAAGACAATTTTTCTGGCGAACCGGAAAACAAACGGATTCTTTTCCCGCTGCTGTTTGTGTGTGGACAGAAAAGTGAAAAAAAAAGAACAGTTCCTTTTTTTTTTTCGTTCCGTTCCATTCATCTTTGCCGCAAAAAAGGCAATGAAACTTGATATTTATGGCGGTCGTGTGTAAAACAATAAAATGGGGCTGGAAAGCGTGGAGAAGAAAAAAAAAGCTATAGTGGAGGTCCTTTCTCAGAAGCGCCAGAGTGGTCCCTATAGGGTTTTGACAGGAAAAGGCCCTTAAAGGGGACAGAAAAAAGGTAATGAAACTTAATATTTATGGCGGTCTTGTGAAAAGCTTTCCCTGTAGGGCTAAAGTTTAGGTTGTCCTTATAGGAATCCTATGGAGCCCAGAGTGGTCCCTTTAGGGGTCAGACGAAAAGTGCCCCCTATAGGGGTAAAATTAAGGTGGTCCCTCTAGGGGTCCTAGGAACGCCAGAGAGGTCCCTGTAGGTGTCAGACAAAAAGAAATCTCTAAAAAAAAACATAAATTAGTCCTTATAGGGATTTAATGTCTGACTCCCATGCCTCTGAAGCTCAAGTGGTCCCTATAGGGGTGTTTTAACTTTTTGGCCCCCCTAGAAAAGACAGAAAGTAGTCCCTATAGGGTAAAAGGGTCTCTATAGTGATTTTACGTCTGACTCCCATGCCCCTGAAGCTCAAGTGGTCCCTATAGGGTTTAATTTTGGCCTCCTAAGTCTTAAAATCAAGGGGTCACTATAGGGGTGTTTTAACTTTCTGACTCAATTTGGAAGGTATTAAATAAAATTCGATCGATTAACCCTATTTTGACATTATTTCCTTTAAAAAACGCTGATTTATTGATTTTTTCACATGAAAATTCTTTTCATAGTAAAGCATGTACCCTATAGGGACCACTTTTTGCGAGTTCGAAAAAGCCCCTATAGGGGTATTTTCATTTCTTGTTCAGGTTTGAAATCTAAAAAAAGACAAACATGATCAATTTATACTCTAAAGGGACCATTCTGGAGCTCCTAGGATGGCTAAAAAGTTAGAAAAAAAGCTGTTTTTTTCGACGATTTTTTTGTGGGAAATCAAAAATTTTTCATCTTTCAGACTGTAAAATTCCTCCAGACGCTCCGAAAAAAATGAATCTTCAAGGTAAAAAAATATTTCAAAACAACCAAAAAAATAAAGTTTAAAAAAAGGAAAATGCTCTGCTAAGAAGTGAAATTTACGATTTTTTTAAAGACTTTCTGAAAAATTTTCAATACTATAAAAAAATCCTTGGAATGAACCTGTGTATCGATAAAAAAACTATCATATTTCTATAAATCTTATAAAGAATCAAAAATATCTCGAAAAAAATGACGAAAAAAACAAGACTTTTTTTCTATAGAAAACTATAACAAAAACTCAGAAAAATCAAGACTTTTTCATCAAATTTCCCTCTTCCAACTTCAAAACCCCCTCAAAAAACCAGGAAATTTTCTCTTCCAATCAAACTTTCTGATAAGAAAACTATCTAATCAGAACTAATTCCACGTCCCAAAACCTCAAATTTTCCCCTTTTTTTTCCTCGAAACCGCTCAAATTTGAGTGGAAAACAAACGAGCAAAGAGCCGGCGAAAAAAAAAACACCGAAAAAGACTAAAAAACACATGATTTTACAGCGTGCGTGTGGTTCGTGGTTTGGTGTGTAAAGTCTTTTTTTTTTCTTTGCAAAAAAAAAGGTTTCGCTCAATATTACTGTTTGAAATTCAAGCTGAAAGCTTGAAAAAGAGGAACATGCATGAAACTTTTACGTTTTTTTTCTTTTTTCTCTCAAAAAAAAGCTAAATCAGTTCATGATCTCAATTTGCAAAAAAAAGAGCCTATCTCAGAAAATATGCTTGCTCAAATCATTATAACCTCTTCTCTGAAAAGTTGAAAAAAAATTTAGGAACAAATATTGAAAAAAATCAAAATTTGAAAAATTATGTTTTTTCATGTTCATTAAACATCAAAATGAAAAAATTTACAAAAAAATATTTTCAGTTTCCGAATAATAATCGAAAATATAAGAAAGACTTTTGGAAGAAATGAATATTCATAAAAAAACCTCACCTAGAACTATACAAGTTTTCTTTTTTTCTTGATAAAACTCTTCCTTGAAACAGAAAAACAGATTGAAAAAAAGGATAAAAATTTGAAAAATGACCGTAGATGAGCAAGTAGAGAACTCAGCCCGGGAGGAGGAGTTGGCTCTCGAAAACTTTGGAAAATTTGAAAATTAAATCGAGTTTCAGCCTCCCGGAGGTCGTTTTGGCCGAGATAATACAAGTTTTAGCCTCAGGAGGCAGTATCAACTTTAGTTTAGAAAAAACTTGGGAGGAGGGGTCGACGGCCTTGAAAAATGCTCTTTCTATGTATGAAAATGACACAGTATTTCCAGTGGAATACACTTGCCAAAATGATTTTTTCGATTTTATTTCGATCGATTTGAAATTTTTGTAAGGTTCTTGTTTCAAACTGAGTTCTAGCTTTTCAGAGCTTTTTTCAAAAACTTGATCATTCGAATAAGAATTCAAGAAGACTTCTAGAAAAAAGTTTCCCTACAAGTCCCAAACCAACACAAAGACTGCAAAAAAGGCGATTATTTGCTTATTTGCACAGGGGGAAAAGCGCAGGAGTCCGTTTATAGGAGGGAAAAAAACCGTTATTTCTGTGGTTTTGATCAAATTGTACAGTGAGTAACAGGCCGTGTTGCTCATAAAATGGTTATTTTTCAAATTTTCAAGGTCTTGGTCGAGTTTGATAAGAAATAGAGATGACTGATCACATTTTTGGTCAAAAAATCCATTGTGAATAATTCAAAAGTGAGAAAAACCTGAAAAAAACGGTTTTACTCATAAAACTGGTTGTTTTCGAACTTAGGAATGCAAGAGCCCTATAGGGACCACTCAAAAATTCCCCATAGGGGCCATTTTAGCTTTAGGGGCATACGGGTGAGACTTTGAACCGCTATAGAGATTACCTAAACTTTACCCCTATAGGGAGCACTTTTTTGTCCCTTAGAGGGGCTCTTTTTCCTCCGAACCCCTCAAGGGGCCACTCTGGCTTTCTAAGAGAGTCGGAGTGGTCCCTATAGGGGTCAAAAGAGTCTACAACCCCCAAAAACATTTTTAAACATAATCGGACTTATTTTTCATCTTCTGAAGCCCCTCCTTCATTCAAGATCTACGACTAAACGCGAAATGGCTCAAAAAAAAAATGCGCCCGACCTAAAACGACTTGCGCCAACTTCTATCAAAAGTCTGAAGCTTGAAGGTTCTGAAAATGCTAGAATGGAAGGTGAACTACATCGAAAATTTTTCAAAAAAGCAAATTTTCAAAATTTCCACAGTTCATTTTCAAAAAAAAACTATTGAAAGTCCAAAAAATTCTCAAAAAATCGCTGGAACGCCGTTTTTCCTGTTCAACCCCAACACAGAACGCATCAAAATGCAAATTTTCCCAGAAAGAAAAAAACTATACGAAAGGGAGAAAAGAGACGCGTCGTTCCAAATCGAAAACTAATTCGGGGCCAAAAAAGACCTGTACAGACGTTCTCAGACAAGAATTACGTGGTATTTTTGGGAGGGCCCGGCATTGTTCTTACAAGAAAAGAAAAACGTATGAGTAAGGGTTCGGAGAAAAGAGAAGACAGGAAGAAAAGAACATTTTTCAAAAAATGTCTGGGTAATTCGACTAAAAATTAAGCAACGTCTGTTTCAGAACCATCCAAAAAAACCATTAATAATATTTGAAATGAATATTTTGTTTACTTGAAACTACGAAAAGCGGAAAAAGAGCTTGAAATCGGATAAATTAGTCACAGAAAACATGTTCAACTCCCTCTGACAAGCCTAGTCAAGTGGCTAAGATCCTTGGATGACGCTCCAGGGGTCGTTGGATCGGTTCCCGATAGATAAAAAATCACTTTTTGCACGATCCAAGAGTTCAAAACTGCCTTATTTTTTTAATAAATTATTTCTGCGACAAGCGGAAAAATCTTGAAATTTCGGTTCACAGCCAGAAAAGGCCTCTCAGACCAAAAAATGCGCTAAAAAAGCGATTTAAAAACTAAGAAGCCAAAAATTTCAAGCGTAGGTCAATTTGAAGCCTTATAAAAGCAAAAAAGTTCAAATCGGTTCAGAAATGTGGGAAAGAAGCCAAAAGTCTCAGCAAAACACAAAGGTCAGCTTTGAAATATAATAAGTTCATTTTTCTGAGATGAAAGAAGTCGGAAAATGAGGCCAGGGTTCCTGGGAAAATTTTTTTAATACTAATCGATAAATTTTTTTATCAATTTTTTGATCCTCAAAGTTTAACGTAAAAGAAAAGAACCCTACAGGGATCCTAAAAAAACTTCAGAATCCAACCGTAATGAAAATTTTTGGAAAAACTGTGGAAAAAAATGGTCCCAAACTATATAGAAAAAAATTTACATATTCGAAAAATATCATACCGATTTTTTTCAAGGTTAGGGGCTGACAGGTCGAATTGAAAAGAAGATATTCATAAAACTCATTTTTAAAATTAAATCCTCATTCGTTCAAAAAAATCGAAACATCTACCGATTCCTTCGGAAAATTGACTTCAAAATCTTTGGAAAAACTTTGGAAAAATGGTCCAAAACTCTGTAGTCAAAAATTACATTAAAAAAAAATAATCATATCGATTTTTTTTCGAGGTCAGGAGCCGGAAAAAAAAGCTCATAAGGCTCATTTTATGGATCCATGCGTTCGAAAAATCGAAATATCTCCCGATTCTTTTGGAAAATTGACCTCGAAATCTCAAAAATCAATCGTATTTGGGAAGAAAAACCTTTGGCAAAAAAACTGTAGGAAAATGATCCAAAACTCAGTAGTCCAAAATTCAAAAGTTCAAAAAATACCGATGCTTCCTGGAGGTCGGGGGCAGACTAGCCGGATTCCTAGCCGAATTAACATTGGCAGTAGTGCCGTACTTGTCGGCGACCCAGGGGCCGACGGCGAATTTCAACATCTTTCGCCAAAGGAACAATGATATTATATCATTGATCGAGTCATATAGTGATAGGGGGGAGGAGGAGAAATGATAAACTGCGGGGCAGCTGAGACGCGGGGAGGGACAGGAAAAAGATTGCCGGCAAAAGCTCGTGGCGGCTTGATCAGTCGGTCCGGCAGAGTGTCCCGGAGAGATCTATCGGCAAAGAAAGGGGCGTGGCCAACTCAGAGAGGGGGAAAGGGAGAGCCCTCTGCCGATGATAAAGCTTCGGAAACATGTCGGTTAGCGTTTCGGAACTTCGCAAAAATGCTCATGAAAATCAAGAGTGATCCCTAGAGGGGTTGGGGAAAGAAAAACAGCCCCTACAGGGGACAGAATAGTGCTTCCTTCAGGGTTCACTATAGACGTTCAAAACCTGTTCCCTGGGCTCCTAAAGCTTGAGTGGCCCCTCTGGGGGTATTTTTGTTTAGATTTTCTTGAAAATCAAATTCACTCTAGAGGCCCCTAGTATGCTCCCCCTATAGTGGCTGCTCATAAGGCAAATAAGCTCGCAAAAGTGGCCCCTATAGGGGGAGTTGAAGTGGTCCTTAGAGGGGCCTTCAAGAGCCCTTAAGGTAGTCCCTGGAGGGACCACTAAGAATTTCAAAAAGTGGTATTCATGGTTGTGATAAATGATATACATAAATGATATACAGCTTCTGTTTAACCAATGAACACCAGAGTGGTCCCTAAAGGGGTAACCTTGGGCCCTTTAAAGGTACCCCTCTAAGGACCATTATACACCCCCCTATAGGGGCCACTAAAGCTTGCGAAAGTGGCCACTTCAGGTTATTCAACTTTCAAAAAAAAAGGATTGCGGACACAACTTTTTGAGCCATTTCCTCTTACTGTAACCGGGTGGTCACCTGCGTCTCTAAGAATTGACGAGTCTTTTCTAGCCAAGTTTTACATCAATCGATAGGTAATGGAATTTTAGGAGTTTTTTTAGTACATACCATCTTGGGTTACTGTAGGGATTTTAGAGTTACGGTAATTTTTGTGTTCGCGACTTTGGTTTTTTGGTCGCCCTGTTCACAATAGTCATTTCCCGTCAAAGTTACCTCTCTAAAATATGTGTTTGACCATTAGCTACGAATACATACTACATTGAAAAACTTTTGTCCTAATCGATATTTTGTAAAATCGCGTCGAACCGGCGCAAGTCGGGGTCTGAGCGTTCAGACTCGCGTTGAATGAAGCCCTCTAATCTTTTTTTTTTGAACTTTCTGAACTTGAACGTATGAACATTCCTTGAAAACTGTTTTGCTTGAAACTAAAATCCATAAACTTCTGGTGAAAGGCCAAAATCTCTGGCAGCAGTCTCATTACAAGACTTTTTTTTCGAATCTTTTCAAAATTTTCACCGATATCACTGAATCACCCAACCTACTTAACCTAATGACAGCCATTTTCCTCGGGCGGGCCGAAGGCAAGGTAAACAACCGCCGTCGGCAGGTGCCACCAACGGAAATCCCTCAACCAGGTGATCGTTTTACGAGAAGCACCCTCACCGAAAGCGGCTTAATTGCTGCGTATTCAAGGGGGGCCCTGATTTGGCGCGAGGGCCGAAAAATTGGATTTGGGGGGTCCCGGGGAAATCCCAATGAGCCGAATGTCATTTTCGTGCAGTCCTTGTTTTGACATGACATGACATACTCATGCTCTCTCTTTCCCCCCAAAATCGAGGCGTTTAGTTCAAAGGCGAAAAACGCGTCAGTGGCCCAAAGTACTCGCCTGGGATTGGAGGTCCCCCGTGGATTTTGGCTGTCTTTTTGCAGGATGAGCTTCAAAACTAGGGGTAAGAATGGCATACTGGAAAAAGCTTAAGGGGTTCCTTGAGGACTCCTTGAAGAGGACACTTAAGCGGCCACTATAGTAGTTTCCCGTAGGATCCCTAAAAGGCCCTCTAAACTCCTAAAGAGGTCACTAACAACTTACGTGGCCACTAAAACGCTTGGCATACTGGAAACTCTTTAGTGGTCACTTAAGGGGCTCCTCAAGGACACTAAAGTGACCACTATAGTAGTTTCCCCGTAGGATCCCTAAAGTGCCCTCTAAAATTCTGAAGAGGTCACTAACCACTTACGTGGCCACTAAAACGCTTGGCATACTGGGAAAAGCTTTAGTGGTCACTTGAGCGGTTTCCCAAGGACCACTTGGAGAGGAAACTTAAGCGACCACAAAAACAACCTCTATAGAAGCCACTACTTTGCTTCTCAGTGGCCACTATAGTAGTTTTTAGTGGTCTAGTAGTATCCCTTAGACTTCTAAAAAAGTCACTAACTCCTTACGTGGCCACTGAAGTTTCAGGACCCTGAAGAGGCCACTAGAAACTTTTCCAAACTTCAAAAATTTTATAAAAAAGTCTTTTTCCGGCTAGAAAGATTTTTTTGAACAACCTAGCTACTGAAAAAAAGCTGAGAAAGTCTCGACTTTTTTTCAAAAAAATAAGCAGAAAAAAAGATTTAAAGTTATATGACCCTTCAAAAAAATATAAAATCTCTTCTCAATCTCGCAGTTTCAAAAAAATTATGAATTTTCATCAAGATGGTTGTGGTAGTAGTACAAACAAAATATAAAAAAATTACCGAAAACACAATTTCAAAAAAATCATATTTTTTTCTCCAAGTTTCCAGTTTCAGAAATTGTTCAAAAAAATTTAGAGGAACAAAAATAATTCAGTGTGTCTGAGAATTCATTAAAACCACTTAAGGGGTCTGACGCAAGTTACCGTAATACGAAGCTACAGTAATCCAAATTACCGTAATACTACAGTAATTCAAGTTACCGTAAAACGACCGCTCTAGCGTTACTAATAAATCGAAAGCAGTAGTGTGTAGACCGCAAGTCTACAGTACTCCAATCTACAGTAATACTACCGTACTCCAAGTTATGGTAATGCTACAGTACTTCAAGTTATCGTAATGCTACAGTACTTCAAGTGACCGTAATGCTACAGTACTTCAAACTAACGTAATACGATCAATCTGGCATTCCTCATTGATCGAGAGCAGAAGTATGTAGACAGTAAGACTACAGTACTCTAAACTACTGTAATACAACAGTACTCCGAGTCACCGTAATACCATCACTCTGCCGTTCCTAAGAAATCGTGAGCAGTAGAATGAAGTCCCCCTGGTACGCTACCCTACAGTATTCCAAACTACAGTAATAATACCGTAATACTACAGTACTCCGAGTTACCGTAGTACAGCAGTACTCTGGGTTACCGTAATACGAACCACTCCGACGTTCCTAATAAATCGAGAGCACTAGTGCGTAGGAAGTGAGACTACCGTACTCCAAACTACAGTGATACTACCCTTATACTACAGTACTCCAAGCTACCGTAATACTACAGTACTTTCGTGGTAAGCCGGTAGGAAGACGATTCAAAGGACTTTCGAGAAAATCAACTACTCCCTCACCGAAAATCGTCGTGCTCCTGGGCGGGCTGAAAGGCCTGGAGGCAGAACCAACGGAGCTTGACGCAGGCCTTGCCGACGATCGACGCCGCCGGACTCTTCTCAGAAGGTGGCGGCGGCGTCGACGCCGGTGACGCCTTCAGAACATTCTCGGCGGTCGAGAATCGCTCTAGGAAGCTCCGCATTCGACCCTTTTTCAGCCTTTTCTTCTTTTTGGGATTTTTTTCGGGTTCTGAATGATGGAAGTTGTCGATTTTTTGTCAAATAGCGACACGAGGTTTCACGAAAAAGAGGAAAATGACAGAAAAAAAAAATCCTGTTTTGAAAAATTTTACATGAAAAAAATGCTGCAAAAAAAGGATAAAAAAACTCGATTTTTCTAGTAAAAAAATGGTAATTTCTGAATTCTAAATGACGAAGATTATCGATTTTTTTAGTCAAACAGCGACTGGAAGTTCGAAAAAAAGGTAGAAAAAAATGACAAATAAGAATAATTATTCACCAAAAAAAGGTGGAAATAAATTCCATTTTGAAAAATCGTTCATGGAAAAACGTTGCCAAAAGGGATAAAAACTAGCTTTTTCTAGCAAAAAGTGATAAATTCTGGCTTATAAATGACGATAATTATCGATTTTTTTGTCAAAAAAAGCGACAGGAAGTTCGAAAAAAAGAGCAAAATGAGGAAAAATTTATAATTGAAAAAAGGGTTCAAAGAAAAATCTATTTTTTTAATTGACAGGGTCAAAAAAATATTGATAAAAATGGTAAATTTTCCGTTTTTCCGAATTATTTGACCTTTTCCAGCCTTTATCTTACTTTTTATGACCTTTTTGGGCTATTGAAAATGACGAGAATTATCCAATTTTAGTCAAAAAAATCGAGAAAAAGCTTCGACAAAAAGAAGCAAACTTAAGGAAAAAAAGATATTTTAAAAATTATTTTTTTGTATGAATTCTTGGAAAAAAACGACATGAAGAAGGTAAAAAAATCAAGAAAAAAAGATTTAATCGGTTTTTTTCAAACATATCTTCGGACGAAAAACTTTGAAAAAAAGGTTTAAAAAAATATTTTTTTTGTAGTTTAATAATCGAAAAAAATGATAAATCCTTGATAGTTCGACCCCTTTCCGGTTCCTTTCGGCTTCAAAGTAACGGATTTTTATAATTTTTTTTTCTAATCACAAAAATTAACTTGAGTAGAGAAAAAATGACCGAAAAAATACATCTGCCAAAGTCGGAAAAGTGCGGAAAAAGGGTGTAAAATGGGCCCTAAAATGGTTCCGTTTTGGGGCCTTTATTGAGCCTTTCTTTCTTGGTGGGCTAAAAAGGCTCAAAAAAGGGTGAAAAAAGGGTGAAGAAAGGCTCAAAAAAGGGTGAAAAAAGGGTGCTGAAAGTCTCGGCAATGGATTATTTCCGATTTTATCACTGTAGCACATTTTGGTGCATACACAGTCACTGGTAAAAATTATTCTCAATTTGAAAAATTTTCTCAAAAGGGTCCAAAAAGGTTGGATAAAGGGTGATGAAAGGACGGAAAAAGGCAGGAAAAAGGAAACCGTATGGAAACTTTTTGCGCCCATGACCTTCTCTCAAAGAACCCCTTAAGGGGTCCTATGAGACAAGGCTCGAAAAAATACTCCTTTAGTGACCCCTTTCGGGTTCAAGGAAATCTATTTTTATCCAAATCGTGACACCAAGTTGACGGAAAGGGACAAATAAGGGGATGGGAACTTTTTTTTTCTCCAGATGGCGGAGATCCAACGGACAGATTAACTGGGAGACAATGGAAGAATCGATAAATTCGGTTTTTCCGGCAAAGTAACAGATTTGATCATCAAATTAGTCGATTTGAACAGGGGAAACTTGATTGAAACAGTTAAAATTCAATAGAAAAATCCAAAAAATGGTCATTTCTTGTGACGAATGACTACTAAAACACGACAAAGAAGGCTTGAGGAAAAAAAAGCTTGGTCTAATCCTGTATAGAAGCCTTATTCACCATCTAATCTTCACTTTCTAATCCGTATGACCAATAGTTTAAGAAAAAAAAAATCGAATCATTAGAGAAATATCCATTAATTCATCTTCCATAGTCATCAAAAACTTAAAGATGCCCAAGTGATCCCTATAGGGATTAGGAGAGAAAACAAAAGAGGCGAAAAAATGAGCCCTTTAGGGGTAAAATTTAGGTGATCCTTATAAGGGTTGAGGTTTTAAACCCTTAAGTGGCCCCTATAGAGGCTGACGTTTTGAACATCCTGAAGTTTAAGTGGCCACTATAGGGTTTGAAGTTTTGAACCATGAGCTCCTGAAGCTAAGTGGTCCCTCTAGGGGTTGAGGTTTCGAACCCCGAGCCCCTGAAGCTTGAATGGTCCCTATAGGGGTCAAATTTTTGAACCCTGAGCTTCTAAAGCTAAGTGACCCCTATAGGGGTCTTTTAATTTTTCGTTCAATTTCAATAAAAACTGATCAATCAATCTTCTACTGATACAGCGTTTCCATACAAAAAATCCTTATTTGTTGAATTTTTTGTATGGAAACGCTTCTTCTCAGGGAGTTCATAACAATAATCAACTACCTTGTCCCCTATAGGAACCACTTACGCAAGCTTTGAAGTGATCCCTAGAGGGGGAAGCTTCAAGGCTTCTATGTTTTCCCCTATAGGGACCACTCTGGAGTTCTAAAGGACATGAATATCTCAAAAACCGACAATAAAAAAAATTTTTGTGAGAATTTCACAGGGAAGGAAAGGCTTGAAATTAAATTATTCCTGATTTAAAATTTTTCTAAAGGAATGAAATTTTTTTTCCTTGAAAGATTAAGCTTGAAAAATTCCATTTAAAAAAAAGTCTAGAAAATGATTCGGAAGTTGAATAAAAAATATAGAAAAAAGCCATTTCGAGTAACTTTCTTGAAGAAAATGACTCTGAGATCTAGAAAATTTTATTTTCCTCAGAAAAGAAACTTTTTCAAAGCGTCACGTAGTGCAAACTCCACGCAGAAAAATTTACTATTAATTGAAAAAAATAAAACGAAAAAAAGATGAATAACTGAAACTTTTTCAAGAACTTGAAATCGACGACTTTCAATCAGAAAAAAAGGCCTAAATTCGAATTTTTTTCTTGACTTAAAATATTTGTAAAAGTCTAAATTTCAAAGGTGCATTTTTTTATTCAATCAATTGATCAAGTCAATTATCGAAAAGTCTTCTTTAAAAAAATCCGAATTTTTTTTGAAAACTAGAAAAATTCGGAAAAAAACAAGCCCTTTCAAGAAGCTCTCGAAAAAAATTTCAACTTCAGAAAAAGCAGAAAAAAAACCATTTTCAAAGCGTTTTCGTAATGGAAGCGGAATCATGGAGAAAAAACAGGGGAAAATCATAATAATAAGCCGGAAAAAAAGGGAGAATACAATGGGCGACGACCATGAGGAGGCCGTTGAGAAGGGGCTCAAGGACATCAAAAAAAAAAAGAATTTCTCTTTCCATTCTTTTTCCCACACTAACTTGTTCCCGATTTCCTCCCGTTCTGATCAATATTACCAACTTTCTATTTTCCTTGACCTTGTTAGTACATATAAATAGACTAGTGGAGCGAATATATAGGCTAGAAAAAAAGGTCATACCATTTTTTTAAGTTATATAATATTTTTTTGTTAAAAGCTACTTTTTCAAGGTAAAAACACATGATTTCCCGGAAAAAAATGACTCATTTTTTTGGAAAAAAAGGTTCAAAAAGGGTGAAAAAAATTTTTCTTTTTTTATTTCGAATATTTCGAGAAAAACCTTTTTTTATTTTACTTTGAAGGGGACCCAGGTTGCCCCTACAGGGACCACTTTAAAGTTCCTAAGGTGTTTGAAAGAGTCTGACATGTCTGCCCCCTCTGTTCTCTCACCAATGACGTCATTAAACTCGAAAACAGTCGACGAGAGAAGAGAGAGCGCAGAGAAATCAGACTTTCCAATTTTTGGCAAAGGAGTATATTGTAAGACATATAATTTACGGTAACTACTCTGAAAAGAAATGAAATTGATATAAAGCTCAAACAGCTTCGTTATGGTCGCATTTGGAATGGCTCATGGCGTAATGGCATCGAGAAAAGTGCGCGGGACTGAAAGCGAGTTGCGCAGGGCGGCCGCGTAAGAGTTCAAATTTTAACTCGAATCGCAGCGCGGCCGCAACGCTCTGAGCCATTCCAAATGCGACCAGAACGTTGCAAACGAGTTTAAATTATAACAGGAAAGTGGCATTTTCCTCGAATTTGTACTAAAGTTCACGGTTATTTTAAATATTCCGAGAAAATTATTCTTGGAGATTAAGACGTTGGCATGCTATAAAACCCGGACGTTTATAAACTGCGACCACTTTTTTTTTGGTGCTCCACTGCAAATTAATAAAACACGGGCGTTTCTTAATCTTATCTCTTTCACATTTTCTGGCACTTTTTTTCGCAAATTTTGTATTTTTCCCTATTTTTTTCTTTTGAAGAAAACTATTCCAAAAAGGTACTACGAAATTAATAAACTCATTATAATGTATTTTTCTTTAATTGCTCCAAAAACTTTTTCATTAGGAGGTTTTAAAAAACGATTTTCTACAGTTCATGAACCTGTAATAAACCGGAAATCAGGTGAAAATTGAATATAGGACAAAAATAAATCTTGAAAAAAATGGTTCCAAAACACAAAAAAACCACTATACATATCAAAAAGCTATCGCAAAAATTAAAATTTCGATTAATTTTAAAAATAATGAAAGTTCAAAAAACGCTCGTATTTTATTAATTTGCAGTGGAGTACAAAAAACAGGTCGAATTTTGTAAACGTCCGTATTTTAAAGCGTGCTGTTCCTTTGGTAGTGAGATGAAAACGGAGTAAGATAAGTTTATAAGATTTTTGAAACTTGAAACTGACTTATTTTTGAAATTTCCACTTTTTCGAAACATGAGCAACTTTTCATGATCTTTGAGATAAAAGATACGATATATATTCATGTGATAGTATCCAACAACGCAAACTGAGGCAAAAACAAGAGAAGATAAATTTATCTGATTTCTGAAACTTGTAACTAACTTATCAAACTTTTTTTCGCAAAATAAGCAAGTTTTCAAGGCTTGAAGGACAGGATTATCTTGAAAAATGGCTAATTTTAGAAAAAATTAATGTCAAAATAGGGAAAATGTCAAGA